ATATATATATCGGAGCATAAATGTTCTTTTGAGTGTTCCTACATTTCATGGAGTTGCACCTCCTACACATGTGCAGTAGATCAATTTGTTACCTTCAACAGGCTGGAAAGGGGAGGGGGTGGGGTGAAGAGGTGAGTATAATTAAGACCAAGTCGTTTTTTAAGAAACTCACAGCACGAGACCATCTATCTCAGCTTGCTGCACTGGGTCCATGCCACACAGCTGACTACTGAGGGTTGAGCTGATCAACTTCACAGCTGCAGCCACAGAGTCGCATGCCTCCAACTCTGCCTTCTCCCGGTCTTCTGGCCGTGTTTTGATGTTAGCACTTGGAATTGTGGAGGAAATCACATGCTAGAAAGAAAAATGTTGAATTCTATGTGTCAAATAATATTTAATAGATAGAGCAACAATGGACCATAAACATCAGCAAACCAATGTGTAAAACATACACTATCATTCAACATCAGTCTCAACGCATAATTATCATAGCACAATCATAAAGTTCTCAACCTGACAAGCATTAAAAGAAACTGAGTTGAAAAGGACCAGAAAAAATGTAAATGGCATCACAATGACAAGAGCAACTTTCAAACTTTACATTATTTTTTAAACATGAAACTATGTTTGATTAATACTTATGTAATGATGTGTACAGCACAATTGAGAGTGTCTTTATATTTGTAAACTTGTTTTTCTACACTCATCATGCTTTCATTTTGAAAAAAAAACTACCCTCATCCAATGCTATCTATGGGACCTTACATTCCTAAGGCACAATAATTAATGGCTCAGCATAACAAAGCCTAAAAGGATCAAAAAAGGAATTTATTACCTTATCCTTATTGTTCATGGTGCAGATCACATCAGTCTGAACAGTTGGCATTCCTGTTGCATCATATACCTGTGTCGCACACAATTTGCTCAGCAGAGCAGCTTTTGTGAATTGGCTGAAGAAATTGACCTGTCATAAAATAGTATAACTTTTTAGATTAACATAACCCTCCCTCCCTCCCTCCCTCCCTCCCTCCCTCTCTCTCTCTCTCTCTCTCTCTCTCTCTCTCTCTCTCTCATAAGGGACGCCAGTAAAATAATGTGAAAATAGTCATTGGTAAGAAAGTAATAGTTCTTTCCACAATCTGTAAACTGAACACAAACTGCAATGTACACTACTTATAGTTTCCAGAGTATCAGTAGCACCAGTGAAGGTACACATAGATATACATGGTGACACTCACAGAATAATGATCAAAGGAAAAGGTGTTTGGTCATACGATGAAAGGAAAGAATCCAAAAGAAATTTTAATCTTCAACAAACTCTTTGCTGTGAAAGGTGAAGATGTAAATAGTTAAAGGCAAGTAATAACGGTTGCTATTTGGAGGATGTGTGTTGAGTGAATCTGGAAGACACGTTACATGCAGGGCACTTACAAATTTCAAAGTCAAAAGCTGACATTTAAAGAGTTGAAGCCATTATTTTTCAAAATAGGCAGTTGAAAGCTTTGGCTTTTGACCTTCCCGAAATAAAAAATCAAGAGAATATTTGTGAGCAGCCAGGGTAATGCAAAGTGTTGGCTCTGTGGTTTCTAAACTTGTGAGTTAAAAGAGACATGAGCAAGTGCATTATTCTCCAACATCACAGTGTGCTCCTTCTCACACAGCAAATTTGATCAGGCACTGGATCCAGGGGCATGGCTGGGGGGAGGCACTGTTGTATCCTCCACATAATCCTGATCTAGCTCCATCAGACTCTCTTTTTATTCCCTTCAAGTGACATTTTTTCGCTGGAAAGATGCTTGCAGAAGACAATGATCTTATCACAGACATCTGAGATTAGTTCCATTCACTTGGGAAGAATTTTCTCAAGGTCTGTTTGCTACATTTTGAGATAAAATGCAAAAAAAATGCATCCATCTTCATGAAAACTATATTGAAAAGCAGTCATATAAAAAAAAAAGTTTTAACATTTTTATACTTACCAAATGACCATACACATCTGAAGGGTCTTCATAAAACATAGAATTTAAAATTTCTTCCATTTTAGCTGGGACTCCATTTTCTTCATAGTACTTTGCCGCTTTCTGCTTGAGAAGGTAAAGTTCCCTTGGATCCCTTGATGATGCTGCTGACGCCATTTTGACAACAAATAAAACACTCGTCTACGTTAAACGTATTGCCAATGCTGTGAGGTAGTTGTCATAAGGACCTGAAACATATATAAATTAGATTTTATTACTTTCTAAAGCACTGAAACAAAGTGATAAAATATTACCAGTTGGGTCATTTATTGTCACAATTACAGCACACAGGAAAAAATAGATAACAGAGCCTGATGTAAAGAAATAGCAAATATTGTGGCCAATTAGTGTAATTCTTGCTTTGATCTTCGAGCTTCAAGATCGACTGAACATTCATAAATCTAGACCTCCCATTTCTTTGGAACAGAATACGCATATAGGTCTTACGAGTAGGCCAAACGGGGAATCAGACCCACTCTGCCCACCTTTCCAGCCCCTACAGCACAAAGTCTGCTTCGACTATAAAGACACCTCAGAAACAGCAATTAAGAAAAGAGAGACAAACATACAAAAGAAGTAGAGGAAAATGACGATAGTAAGTATGATGAAAGAAAAAGCAGCAGTTCCCCATGTGCTGTTTCTTCACAGTAGGAGCATAACATTGATAAATCAGCCCATTTACAATTCTACTGTGCATAAGACCAAGAAAAAGTTACTATCCCGCGTTTGGGAATGGCCTAAAGACAACTTCAGTCAGATAGCACTGCCCTGATTGGGGGCATATAGGTCTTCGACTTGCCATAGATGTTCGTGGTTTGTTTTTATTAGAAAAGTTTTTAAAGCCACTTCATTCTAGATTAAAATTTATTAAATGGCAAACTATGAACCTTTTTTGACCTATGAATCAATACTGGATTATCACAGCTCTGATATTATGTACAAGACTGTATTTTTTTACTCATGGACCCATCTCATGTTCAGATATTCTAATTCTAAAACATTTCTCATGTTAATTTTTACCTGCTTTACACAAATTTTGACTTTATATCCATTGCAAGTCATTAATCTATGCCTGTGGCTACATGTATGTGTACAGCCCTCATGCATACGGCCCTCCCTCCCATACGGCCCTTAGATTTAGATAGAAGTATGCTCATGGCGTTGATAATCGCTCAGCAGGACTGCGTCACTTTATCGATCAATATCTTGGCCAAGACACAGATCGTGTATAACAAGATAGTTCACCCCTCTATAACTGAGCCAAATAAAAAAAGTGTTCTCAATATTCGGTGGCGTCCTCTTCGAAAAAGAACGGACTTTGCGATCAGAGTTACCCTACTTGTGTGAAAATATATATAAAAGTGAAACCAACAAACTGTGCTATTCCTATTCTTCTTCTGGTGAAACGAAAGAGAGCTTCAAAACAAAGACTGCAGCGTCATCTGAACCAATGTGCGGACTTCCGCGGACACCTTTTTGGCTGAGTGAACTATTTGGTTATAATGTACGATATTTGGCCTAGAGACGCTCTACGAGGTCAAGATAACTGGCAAAGTCATTGGTCACTATTTATAACATTGACCTGTAATATACTACGTAATTTTCCATATAAGGAATGCTGAAATTTTCCATTGAAAAAAGGTCAGCGTCTCTGCCCTTTATAGCTGCAGGCTTCCCAATTGGAGTAGATCATCCCTATATATAGGGTCTGTGCGCTTCCCGGGTAGCCCGGCTTAAAATTACGCCCTTTATAAAGGGTCTGCGCGCTTCCAGGGTTTAAGTTTGTCTACTTGTAGTGTCCGGTTTGATAGTTTATGCGCCACCTCAAAGACTAGCTATTATGTGAAGTGGAGGGCCATACCCATAGCCTCGATGCTATGCGTACGGGAGGGCCGTATGCATAGCCAAGCCAGAGGCTATGCATACGGGAGCCGTACGCAGCCATTTCGTTAAAATTTATTAAGCATTGGATATTTTTATATTAATTATCACAATGAATAGGCCTAATATTTGACTTGTTGTTATGTTGTTAACAATATGGGGAGGGGGGTGTTCAGGGGGGCATGTCCCCCTTACCTTAAAAGAATCGGGGGGGGGGGGGGGGGGGTTCAGAGCGGCATGCCCCCCTGTACTTCACCATAATTTGGGGTTCTGGCAAAATTTAGATTTGGTATTTTCTTGAAAACAGTTGATTTGCAAAGGTTTCACAGGCCATATCTGCAGCAAAAATTATGGCAGTTTATCCCCCAAAATAGTGCATCTGCATGCGGGTCTAAAAGTAAACATTTACCTACAAGACAAGTGACTATTATTATAAAGTTAAAGGCATCACTCACATTAAAGTCTAAGACTTGAGATTAATTTCTGATCAAGCATCCTAAAATAGGTGGGTCTCTGACTGAATGTATATTTGCCAAGCAGTTTAATTAATAGGCTACTTAAATCTAATTTGTAAAATATAAGGGGGCCAATACTAAAATACAGTAATTTAAATAATCAGACATTCTCAAGCCCAATATTATACAGCTGCAACCCTTTATTCTAAGTTATAGGCCTAGGCTAATTTATAAAAAATAGGCGATGTTCACGGCCTCCGGAATTTAGTTTGCAATTTAAGGATGATCTTGCTCACTTCAACCCCTACCCTATCCTTTTCCTTCTTCTTTTCACCCCCTCCAACCGTCTCTCCTGCTTTGCATGATCTCCCTTTCAAATTGTCAAGCGTTAATTGCCCGGTCCACACACAGGAAGATGATAGAAGTCGTGTTCCATGCGCTGAGCGAGCGAGGCTTTGTCGACCACAGTTGTTTTGCTGTGCTCGCCTTCGCCCTCGATGATAAATAGATACTCTCGTTGCATTCGGGCCACCGCTGCATTATTTTTTAAGCAAGTGGAGCTGTTTCCTCATTCACTTTGAGTTTGAGCTACCAAAGTGTTTCAGTCGTGCCTCTGTGCCAATGGTGGATGATTCAAGGTGCCGTGAAGGTAGCCTGCAAACTACGTTCACGTACAGCACAGTGAACGACGTCAGCGAAAAATTCCATTCCCTGATCTAAAGTCTAAATCATATGTTTACAATTCGAAATTTTATTACTTAACTCACCATGTAGAATTCCTTTGATCTAAAGGATCACTCACCCTTACTACTCACTCAACTGGACTATTTCGATTTTGAAGCGACCTTTGACTTTATTTTTATCAATGATGATCAATTCAACACAAACTCAATTCAAAATCCTCTTTTAAAACTAGAATCTAGATCTATTTACGAATTAAACAGGCACTTCTAATGTTACTGTAGAATCCACTCTATGCCATTGACTTCTTATCGTAAAACAATAAAACAGATCTTTTGGCCCTGTCGGTTCAAACACGGTGTAAACATTCACTTCACTTACCTTTCGATCAAGATCTTCCATTTACGCCGCCATATTCCAGTTACCAAGGAAGTGAAGCTTTTCGGAATGGTTAGCGACATTATTGATTACAGAAATTAAAAGTTATTTTATAATACAATGGTTCCAAAGATTTCAAAACGACTATTTTTCATATCTGATCAGTTCAATAATTTGTTTTTCTTCCTGAGTACTTTTACTATTTTACGACGTTTTTGTGAAAACAATATGGCTGAGCGTCGTTAGTGACGGATGAAAGTAAAGCGGAAACACAATGGTGACTATAAAGGAACTAAGATGAAATAATGCGACAGCCCTAAAACAAACACCCTCTCCAGTTTCTTATAAAAGGTAAGAATTAGTCTGTCAAACTGTATTGGCTGGAAAATATGTTAAGCTGTAGTTTTAGGGGCGATTTTGTAGTTTCGTTCGTTAAAGTCAAGCAGGGGGGTTTCAGGGGGGCTTGCTCCCCTGACCTAAAAAAAAACCATGGAGGTTGGGGGGGTTCAGGGGGGCATGCCCCCCTGAATTTTATCCTAATTTGATGTTTTGCAGTTAGGTTGCATCCCTGCTCTTTGTGTAGCCTAATTCAAATAGTATTTGGTCTTCAAGACTTCTGGATTTCTTCTCTGGATGTAAACAAATGGATCGTGGACTTTAACGAACGGAACTACAAGATCACCGTTTTAGGAAAGATCAAGTCTTACTAACTTTGACTTTGATTTTCGGGAGGACTTATTATCCGTAAAGCGACTGTGCTATGAGTATGAGACAAATCTACCCCTATCATATCATGCCCTATGAAATTGGGGTAGGGGTTGGGGTAGAGTTAGATTCTAGGTTAGGGTTAGGCCACTTCTTTATTGTGTTTGTTGGGGTGCAGTTGCTCGTTACAGAAGTCCCTCCGTTTTTATTTTACTTTGGGTTGAGAATTTCAGAGAATGAATTAATTCAGAATGGATTGTCGTAGTTTATATAAATTTGGTCGAGTTGCTGCTTGAATGGCAATGCTACATCCTAGTCACTGATCTACCTCTGGATTGGCCCAAATATAGATGACGTATTTCCGCCATCTATTTTTGTCGTCTTCCAGTTCCGGGGCTTTTCTCTCCAGTTGACTAGATCTCACCACCGTGGCAGGCCCACTTTGCCACTAAACGTGCGATGGGTTTCATCACTAGATCTAGGTTTCATCGCCGACTGCTTGGGCTGTGTGTGCGCACGTGTGTGTGTGTACGTGTATGTGAGCACGCGCTTGTGTGTGTGCATGTGTTTGTGTGTGTGTGTGCATGTGTGCACACGCTTGTGTGTGTGTGTGTGTGTGTGTGTGTCTGTGTGTACAACTTTGAGGAGAAAGTAAATTTATGGAACGAGAATTTCTGAGATTGTTTATAAAAGATAACACAAATACCAACAAAAAAAAACGCGGCGAGATCTTGTCAACATTTTATACTGGCGAGTCGCGGCGAGGGAAACCCAAGAGTGTTGAGAAAAACCCCGGAAGACGACAAAAATAGATAGCGAAAATATGTCATCTATATTTGGGCCAATCACAGTCGAAATGTGTTCTAGGTGCTCGCTGTAGCTTCATGTAACAAAAAGTTGCAGAGAAGTATTCAAACTGTAATATACTACAAACGTGGGGTTAGCATTATTGAAGGAATCAAGACGAGATTCCTGTTTTAGTGTCAGTGCATATTCATGCATCTTCTAGGCTATCCAATCTAGATTAGATCACATAACCTGCACAGATGGCTCAGCATTGAAGGCTGATCATGTCCACAGTGAGTCTGGGTAAGGTAAACGTACAAGGATGAATGCAAAGAGTGGCGATAGAGAAATGAGCTAGGGGTGCTGGAGTATCTGCACTGTACTGTAGAACCGATTACACTTTGTACATTCTTTGTATTATAAATATATTAATCTAGTCTTTCTTTGATTAAATATATATATACGGTCGAACCTGCCTTTACGGAAACCTGTGTAAAACGGAAACCTGTCTTAACGGAATCACCCCACTCCCCCCTTGATATATATATTCCTCTTTAATTACCTGCATTAAATGGAAACCTGTCCAATATGGAAACAGAAAGAAAAATCCGCTCCCCTACGAGGGTTTCACCTGTCTAAGTCGGAAAATACTTTGCCCGCTCGGCCCTGACTTGAAACAGAACTCGCAAGTTTGGTTCTGCCGACGAGGAAAGGGAGTACGGGTGCATTTTTGGGGTAGATGTTACCCCATCATGTGAGCCATGAGTGATGCAGATGGTCAGGGTAGTGTGGGTGTGAAATCTCACGACTGCTCGTGAGAGTCCTTGAGTAGCGAGCCACTACGGAAACTTTCCTGGGTAGCCAGAGGCCAGAGGTGTGAAATTAGATTGACCAATGCCTACCGCCCTGATCATACGGCCAGCCGAGACAAGAGTTCCTCGAATTGTTGTTACATGATGGCAGTGAGGGGTGGCATTGGTTAACTTGTTACTCTGATGGGGGTGCTACGGGTGGAAGCAAAGGAGATGTTCAAACATTACTGTTTTTAATAGGTCAAACAATGGTCCTATGAAAGGCAAGCACTGGTGGTAATTGGATAAGTAAGACTGACGCATGTCATTATCAGACAGGATAGCAATTGAGAGGTGTGAAGTTTTGACCACTGCTTGCCGATCAGACAAGGGACCCTTGATCCCACCGGCTGGGCCTTTGACCCCCCCCCCCCCTCCATCTCCCCTTGAATTCCCCTGTCTGAGACAGAAAATGTAATTTTTTTCTGGCTCCCTTGCAATTCTGTCTTTCACAGGTTCGACTGTATATATATGTGATATATATATGTATTCATTTCATCAATATCAACTGCTGTAGAAGAAGAGGTTGAACTTTTTGTTGCGCCTCTCTTCTTCGGAGCTGGTACGCGCCACAACATATGATGCATATCCTGTGATGCTTCTGGAAATAGGGCCTATATTTTAAAAAATAAAATATAACATTGATGTAAGCTCTGAAAGAGTCTTGAACGCGCCATGATAAACCATCTTTTCCAAGCCAAATATAATACATCGTGTGGGAAATGCATAAAAGCAATACTACTTATCTTTCATCAAACGCTAAATTTAACCCTATCTGTGCGCTTTGGGGTCATTTTGTACCCCCGGGGTTGTATTCTTCATATTTTCAAATACATCTAGTACGAAGATCTCTCTGAAACCTTCAGTATTTCTCAAAAAATCGTTTTGACAGACTGCTATTAGAAGCGTACGGATCGGATTAACGAGTGAATTTCCTTTTTGGAAAGTGGTTGCACAGAGTTCCCCACGTCGTATGGATACGATAATAAAACACAACATATAGATAGGGTTAAGCTGACAGTCATCAGCAATCTTGCAAAGAGCAATGATAACAAAACATTTGTAATATAGTGGAGCTCGAGATGATCACTTATATTTTTTGTCTATGCATTTTACTGTTGCTACCACACTTATGATAAAGTGAAATGTTAGACAGTTAACTGCAAAGCTGTCTTCGCGATGTGCAAATAGTAACTTTATTAGAGGCAACAAATTGCCTTCTTATAAACAACTGATTGGATTCAGTTAATTAATATCTTCTATCCTAAGAGCTTAAAGTATTGGTAGTAAGAGGAAAATGTCTCCTATTTTATCTGTTGCAACAACAAAAAAACACGATTAGTCATCCCACATTTTGTATTTCCTTATAAATGTGAATGTAATTCCTTTTTTTATGGTAACGAATTGATATGCTCTATCACTGATGTGATCTTCTTTTGTTATAAATAAAAGCGGGTAAACTCTCACAAAAAAGCAACAACAAAAAATACATTGAATTAAAGTAAGGTTCATTGTTGACCAATGTAGAGAGGACATGCGGGAATACTCCATCACCCGTTTTAGCACATTTAATCTATCGATGCTTTTCGCACTGATCGTTCACCTCACTGAGAACCAAGCCAGCCTTCAGCAATGTCAGAGCCAATTGTGCTGGTTATGCAGCCTGTACTAAGATAACCTAGCATACATCAATCCAAATTTTATGTGATGTAGCCAGCTGCATTGTGACATTTCACCCAATGGCTCATTTTCTACCGTCAGAAATGCTGCTCAGTCCTTGGTTTATGGCCAATAGCCACCTTTAACTTTAACATCTTGGCAAATTTGTTCATTATTAAAAGTCTTGTCCAATCAGATTCTCACAAATTCAATTTGTTGTCTGTGGTGTAGCAATAGGGGCTTTTGCTGTTGTGTGCTGGAGACCCGAGTTTGATTCCCTAACGGGGAGAATCATATGTGTCATGCTGCTGTGGAATCAGGGGCTCATCAATTATGGATCACATGGAGTTATTGGTATCCTCTTATAGCCTATATATTCGCCTTGCTTTTGATGAAAAAATATCCAAATATCTTGAATACAAGTCAAGATATTGGTAAGTTAAGGAGGTAGAGGTTGCCTGATTTCAGAGGTAAAGTCAGCAAGAAAATGACCGCCAAAGTTGAACTATTTCCTTAGCTTGAGAGTCCTTGGAAACTGAAAATTTACATCCTTTATGCCTTTAATCAACGTTTTTCACTAAAATCCACAAATAAATGTGTTCTTTAATGGGCATGAAAGGTGTTGAGGCAAAAAAACAAAAAATTCGATAAAAATTACCAAACCTGTGGAAAAATGCCAGTTTCTTGACTTTCATTATTTTGACGAGCGCCTGATTTCATCACACTGCCTCACATATTTGTCAAGTATCTTGGTCATTCTGCTGGGATGTTGTCCCTCTCAGACTGGGTTGGCCCTGCCTGCATGATCTAAATTGTGTCAATGGGTGTGTAAAAACACCTACATTAAGAAAAAAGATGCACTCACAAACTCTTACAAAACTCTGTTTGATTTTTTCTTGAGCCTACTATCGGTTAGAAAACTAATTTCTCTGCATTTTGAAATGCAACACTTTGAGTCAAAAGAAGTAAACTATTTTTCTGGTTAGAGTTGGACCAGAAAAATGACCATAAGCTCCTGATCAAACAGTCAATTCATCAAAGAAAGCTTGAGTTTGATTTGATATTTCTGTCTTCACAGCTGTTGGGATGTCTACCTTAAGCACTCCCAAGACACAGACAGCGGGATCACAGACATGGGGCTCGGGGTTTTCAGATTCAGCCAGAGGCCCTGCACTTCGAAGGCGCCGGACAAAAATGGTGTCTGAGAAAAAGATAGCAGATGATGAATTCATGGCTGCTGCAATTGGTGATGTGGAATGGCTAAAACAGAGTTTGAGAGATGCAGGACCTGACATAAACTTTGACAAAAATGTAAGTAAGCCATGTAATATGTCTGCTGTTTGAAAACTTTTACAAATTTGCTACTTCAGAATTACAAAGTTGTTGTTGTTGTTAGCGATCCAGTAGCTCCTGAGCGTTAACTCTTCTGCATGATGCCATTCGGTAATAGCTGCATGTCTGTTTTAATTGTTGTTTTGAGGAGTAGAGGCAGTTAGATGTGTGGGGTAGCTTGGGAAGAAAACATCCCCTTAAATCAGTTAGTTTTCTACAGAAGAACAGATGATGTTCCACTGTCTCTGCTGAGGGGGTGGTCACATAGTGGGCAGGCAGCAGACTGCTTTACTCCAATTCGGTTGAGATGTTGGTTTAGGGGTACATGTTGTGTTCTAAGGAAGATTATGGATTGATCTCCCCTCCTCAACTCATTGATTGGATCTTTGACCAGTGGTTTATTTATGTGGCCATACATCCTCCTTCCTGTCGTACCTGGGAATTACAAAGTTCTAACTGACATTTTTGGCCATTTTGATTACTAAGACCATGGGGTCAGAAACCAAATATTCTATCTGCTCTGCCAAAATCGTAAGATTATTCGGAGTTGTTGTCAAGATATTAAAACAATTGCATTAGAAAAAGATTGACATGGTGTGAAACTGAAAATTGTTGGCGTCAAATTTAGATAAAACTTTGTAATTCTGAGGTAGGGAAATAGCCATGGTTTTAAATAATAAATATTTAAGGGACTGGCTATTTGAACGTTTTATTAGAAAAATGCAACAGGACCAGAATGAAAATGCTCCTTGTGCCAAATTGTTTATTTTCGTTACCAATTAAAATTCTTTTTGCTGTCACTACTATGAAACTATCTTTTTAAAGTTAGAAACTGTGTACCGGTTAATTCGTTATACACTTGAAATTCTCGTTTTTGGAGGGTTTTTTCTTAGACAATGCTGATGGATGAAAAAATTTTAGAGACCCAAAATACTTGCTTTTGTGTGTAGTGTCAAAGGGTTGTTTGTTGGTCCTTCGTTATTCCATTATCAAGCCAAGTTCTCTGATTGCGCAGGCTCAGTATACTTCCCCACTCACATATCCAACGTGTTTTGCAATATATTGTGAACATGGTGACGCGGCTTAAAATCAGGCCAGTCGTGATGAAAAAGCAGAACTCTAAAAAAGATATGCTCATATACCACTGAATGACAATACCCAGATATCTCGTTAGTGCCTTGCCTGGGAGATCAACAATTTGTGATCATACAAACACAATATCATCAGCTATTGGGTTTTTTTCTTTTTTCCCCACGCAGTGGTCATCCTTATGATTCCTTTTAGCAATTCTGGTAAGATCAAAACAATCATCTCGTCCACAATGTGTCAATATTATCTATATTTATTTTATAAAGATCAACTTCCTTTATAGAATGCATGACAAATTGCCCTGTAGACTGTAAATTATGAGGTTTGTCACAGTACGGTAGTTTTTCCTTAATGTATTATGAAAAAAGGCACTCGCCATCTTTGGGTTTGGGAGTTGGGGTGGGGGCAGGTGTTAATGGGAAATTCTTTTCCTCACCTTGGGTCTGAAAATTTGCCCCAGATTTTAATGTAAAGTCTTGAAAGCAAAGAGTTAACATAATAGTATGTTTTGCCAACGTATGCCCAGTTTTCTCAAAAATCGTTATTGGCCTAATGTTGTGTTGTAATATTTTAAAGGACTTCTTTTTTCTGTTATTTGATACAGGGTTTAACAGCCATCCACTTAGCTGCAATTCATGGACGGTTAGAATGTCTCAAAGTCTGCATTGAGAAATTCAAAATTGACATCAATCTTCCAAGTTCAACTGGCTGGAGAGCTGTCCATCTCTGCATCAGCAATCAGACTGGAAAAAGATCTTTACAATGTCTAGCATACTTGTTGGAGAAATCAGCAGATCACTCCCTGTAAGTTTTTTTAGTTCTATATCAATGTAGGTGTGTTGTGTGATAAAAGTGTGAAGACAAGGAATTAAACCATTGTTCCCATAAGGATAGAACTCAAGGGAAAAGGAAGAAGGAGTGTTATGTTCAATCTGAAAACTGTATTGATATTTTGTTTCAAGTTCATGAGACACAGCCCTGATCGAGGCATATATTGGAGATGAGCTGTCTATGCATTTATTTTTCTTTAAACTACAGATTTCATAAGAAAGCATGAGGATGTGGTCATAAGTAAATCAGATTGAGAAGGTATGTTTCAAACTCACTGGAATAAAATTTTGTTCCCATGTATCCCTGCTATTTCCTCCAATGTACAAGTGTTCTGTGATAATGAGGGTGAAGTAACAGTATAATACTGGAGAAAAAAAACAACTCCAAAACATAGGTACCAAGAAAAACTTATAAAAAGCAGTGGTTCATATAGATTAGTATTAGATTGACTGAAAAATTTCTGCTCACCCCCATTTACTAAGTGCACAGGTCGTGAAAACAAACTCTTTCATTCAAAGTGTTCTAATTGTGCATCTATCATTTATTATTACCTAGTATATTAAGTAATGTATTAGCCCTTAATTTCAAGTCATAAATCTTTATTCTGATCTCTCTTTTAAATTACATATTATATGGATCTTCTTCCGTTTCCATAACGCTGTCCTCTTTAAAGGGATTAGAAGGGCTTAGACAATATCCCCATCTTTGCTAACAACTTTGCAAAGTTCGTCAAAATTACCTTTGTCATAAAAAAAGACTGTTATCTTTATAAGCAAAGTATCCATGATGGTCTGATTACTTGAAAGCTTGTTTCTGTTCGTGAAATTCACACAATACAAAAAGTGGTTCAGTTAATGTTCAGATTGACAGCATTTCATAATCTGCTGTTAACTTTTATTGAACTTATAGTAAGCAAATTGAATGTGAATATATAGCGTTGTGAGCTTAGGCAGTAATTTACTTTATCAATTGTTTTTTTCTAGTGCAAATGATGATGGCATCACACCAGTGCATCAAGCTGCCAGTGAGGGTCATGTGCAGTGTCTAAAGATGTTGCTGGAGGTGGGAGCTAGGTTGGACAAGCAGGACTGTCGTGGCAACACACCACTGGATCTTGCCAAGCTATGGGGTCACCGGAAGTGTGCTAGGTTTGTGGAAGGTTTTTTTTTTTATGTGTGTTACCCTGCAGCTGGCCAAAATGAGCTTCCGGTTTAAATTTGTGTTAATAAGTGTTTGTGTTATTTTGAGAATGTGTGTGTGGAAGGAGGTGGGAAGGGGTGTTAAAAAATGTACCTTTTCGGTGCCAATCACTGATCACTGAGGGGAGAATGGAGACATTGGTGGCAAGAAATATTGGTTTTTTAGCAGAATCCTTTTAGACAGATACATTAATTTATGCCTAGTTCAAGTTCAAGGAAGTGAAAACACAGTGGTCACCAGGAATTGTTTTAATGTACTTAAATCAGTTACAGTTTTCATGTGAGGTGGTTTCTGTATGCAATGAATATTCATATGTGCAAACTGTTACCTAAATTTCTATACGGGTAAAGCCAAAGATTTTTTTTTTTTCTTTTCTTCTACTATTCCAGAATCCTTGCTGCTGAAATGTGGCACCAGGACAAGGACAATGTAGCGAAGGAAATGCAACAGTTGAAGAAGGTGAAAATGCAACAAGTTCTCAAAGAGCTCGAGGACGAAGAGGAGATGAAGGCTGCCAGGCAGTTTTATGGTGAAGAAGCGTTTAATCAGTGGATGACATCGAAAAGCTTGACAGAAACAATTCCAAACACACTAGAGAAAGCACAAGGAAAACAAAGTAATAAGGACTCCGGCTATAAACCCAACAGTGTGGCAAGGAAGAAAGATGCTTCTAAACCCCTGAAAATCTCTACAGATGCAAGAAAGATAAGTGAAAGATCATTTGATAGAGAGGATTTTCCCACAGAGATAAGTGATGAGGAGTTACTGAGGGGTCTACAGAGCGATTCTGAGAGAGATAAACAAGGAGATGCTGTTACAACACCAAAAAAGATGGGTCCTCCATTTTTCAATGACAAAGAATGGAACAAGTCTACAAAAGCTCCAGAGAGTACCTATATAACTAACCTTACTGATGATTTTCCAAGAGATGAGTACACCATGATGCCTCAAGTAAAAGGCATCCCCAAATTTTATGAGGGTAAGTTTGTACGTCCAATAACGCCAAACACTGTTGACGAAGACATCAAAAGAAGAGGGTCTCAGGTGAAACTCCGGCGGCCTAGACTGCCTAATGAAGTCATTAGGAGTGTTTTAGCCAAAGACTCAAGTGCAATTGATAGAGGAATGATTTTTAAATGTAAACACATTGGCGATGTGCACACAAAAAAGAAATATGAAGTAGATGAGAAAGGTCGCCCCGAAGCCCCTTTGCATTTGTCTAATGACGTACGCTCCCAGATGGTACAGAATAGTGTCAGGTTTTTGCACGCAGCGCGGAAGAGTTCAAACTCCAAATCTGATTCAAGTAGAACAAAAATGACAGGATCTGAATGGATGACAGATACATTCCCATTACCGATGGTGATGCAAACTCTGAAGCAAATGTCAAAACCTGCTCATTTTCCTAATTCACATGGCAATGAGTATGTCTTCGCTTTTAGCAATGTAAAGTGAAAATGTACATGATAACAACAATGGTAGTGAGATTATGGCTGTCTCATATTGTATAAATTCGAGAAATATATTTTTCTTTTCTTTTCATTTTGTTCAATCAAAAGTTGCTTCTTCATTTTATTCATTGCACAGATCTTTATTGCATTGCATTTCTTAATGAAAAAGAAACTGTCTCAGATCTTGGTAGGACAAAGGACAATGTACTCTTTTGCATGCATTTGTTTTTGACAATACTAAATCCAATTTTCAGGAATTGTACTTTGGCCTGCAACATTCTTGAATCTGAAAGAAAATATTAACACTGTGCACATGGAATGTAGGCCTGCTACTTTGCTGTAGATTGAATAGTTATTTTTAATAATAAATCTTTTACGTCACAATTGCCAAAATAAACGAGTTTGAATATGTTATGTATTGGAAGATACATCATTGTGTTGTGTGGGGTGCATCTTTTGATGTGACTTTTTAAAGTAACACTTTTTGTGTCTTAACTGTATTTATATATTATAACTTTATAAAGTGATAATTTTTTAAGTGTTTGCATTCTTTATGACTGTTGGTTTTAAAAGAAAGTGTTTGTTACATTAAAGTACATTGTCATTTTGTTTTGAAGTAATGCTGATTTAGAAAGATAATGCTGACAATATTGACATTTTATGATTAGGACTGCTGACTTTTTGAGAGCTGTTTTGAATTTTCTTGAATCTGGACTGCTGATCCGTGAGAATTTTATGTGTCATGTATTTTATTCAGATATTTGTGACGCTAAAGTTTCAGAGTGAACATTCCTATTGAGTTCAATTGTCTTTTGACAAGAAAATATTTACAACTTTGTAATTATACCTACTACTTTCATCATGAAGCACCAAAGATCAGGAGTGTAGGAACCAAAAATTACAGAGGTGCAAAGCTTTGATCTTCTACTAATGATAAAGAAAATGTTGGGGGTTTTTTAATCATTAAGTTGCAAAACAGATGAAGTTTTAAAAAGTGTTTCCTCAATAAAGAAACTTCAATTTCTATAATGTTGTACACATATTGGCAATCTACCTTTGAAAGCCTAGATGTGTAGTTTTCCCTGTATGTTTTGAATTGGCTGCAAAATTCAGTACTTTTATGTACAGCCAACTTCTATCAAATTTTCTGTATTTTCTGGATTTAGTGTGAGTTGGGTTTTTTTGGTCACTTAAACAGCATTTGAACACAGAGTAGTTCGTGAGTATAGTTTATTAATGAGTTTTATGTGCTTACTTAACTCATGTTTAGTATATTATTGGAAAGTCCTGTTAATAAGATTAGTTAAATAACATGAATTTCAAATAGCCTTTTATGTACACGAAAAACAGTGGGCTGTGACTAAAAAATTACAACTGAGGCAGTAAACTTGAGTGAAGATTTTGCAGTTGTCAACAAGAGGGAATAGCCACAATTAACTGAAGTCATGAGGCTAGACAAAATTTGCATCAACCACAACTGCTCATCTGTATTTTAATATCCAGATTTTGTTCCCCTCTTTCATTGAGCATCACACAACAAAACAAAAAGATGAAAGAGCCCTATAGATAAGGTTATTACCCCAGAATTTTCTTAGCCTGTTTGCCTTACTAAAAATGCCTGCTCTATTTCTGTGCCATTCGCTCCCAAATGAAGTGTCAGCTGGATATGGTTTTGTGATAACTCAATAATTAATCAGTTTGCTTAATAAATGAAATAGCTGACCCATGAGGTTTCAAGACTTGCAATCCATTCTTTTACTCTTTTTGTACTATATTCAGATATACTGTTTTTCAGTAATATTTCTTTTATGTTTGTGAAGCTGGTGTTACATTTTGTACTTTTGCATTTGCCAAAGAAGAAAAATATAGATCTATCTATGAATGTCAAATATATCGGAGCTGTTTGAAGTCAAAATAAAATTCAGGACATCCTATCAAGTTTCACTGCGAGTTGAATTTGTTTTAACAATCACATTATATTTGTTGAGTTGTGAGCGCAGACTGGAAAAACTCCTCCTCCTACGACAATTTGCACTCCCATTAACAAAAAATCAAATGTGGTGACTGTAGAATCATAAAAGTATATAGACTCTGAAGAAACGACTTCACACTTCAAATGAACTTGTGCTTTGGTCCCTCCTTAAGAGTCTTTCTTTCCCTGAATATTGAGCTCAGTTTCAATTATACACAGCAGAATCTTCTTTAGAGAAAAGTTGTCTCCATAAGGACCAAACTATATCCTTTGCTGTTTTTCTACTCTATATGAAGAATATTAAGAAATTGGTATACCGATTTCACCTCAAAAAACCCAAACGTCACAACCAGGCCATTCTGTGGCTTTAATGGCCGGTAATGGAATGTAAAATAATGTCCCAACTGACACAATTTTAAATCATTTAGAAGGCAGGTTGCTCTGTCAGTGCCAATCTGGCTGACAATGAGAGGACTACATCATCCCGACGGACAGATGCAGCTACTCTATTAAAAAATGCACGCATCATGTTGAAATCATACTCAACATCATCTGGGCACAACTTTTAAAAACCTAGCTATTGCTCAAGACCTGCAGGTGCCATGACTTTATTCGACTTCAAAATTAATAAACAAATAATCTACAGGTGTTGAACGGACTTTTCATATCAAATGTCATTACACTCCACAAGTATATTCTTTTAATTTCAACAAAGTCACAGCATTATGAACTTTAATGTTTCATTAGTGTCAGAATCCTTGATTTTTCTTTACGTTGCTTTACACTTGAGATGTAAAAAGGAGGCACTTTTTAGAACTGAGAATAATATGGTTTTGGAATAGTATATGATTCCGAATGACTCAAGACAGAAAACCTGATATTATGGGACCTCTTTCACAACAGATAGTGCTAACTGGAAAATCTGAAAAGAAATCAGTAGAATCTGATACCAAATCTTTTATTTCCAACCATCAATACAGTTGTTCAATGAAAATAATTTCAAAGTCAAGAAAACAATCATGCATCGAAATAAAAAAAAATGAACAAAAAAGACACATGCATAATATCAGTGAGCACATGTTTTCTACGATTTCACACCACTTTTGCTGCAACAGATTGACTAGGCTGCTTTTCCACTGATGAAGATCCACAACAAAAGAACAGTAATATTATGATTAGTTCACAAGTACACCCAAAATACAGTTAAAATTGCCTGCTGTACCGTTTAGTGTTAGTAAATGTAAAGAGAAGTAAAACATCCAAAAATTTCACCTAGGTAACATCATATCCCTGTTTAATTAAAAACCTTTACTTGATGAAGAAAAGAGTAGGCCTATTTAACTCTTATTTATATAGCCAAAGGTCCATGCAAGTCAGTGGGCAAGGGAAATAAATGCACTATATTCCTTGAGCATCACCTTGCATCTTACTCTGTTCCAAAACAGCTACTTCATTTAGAATTGAAGTTGCTCAAAACCTGAACCTTTGATGAAAAAGGGCTTCCTTAAGATCCCCAGACCCCCAGTCCCAAGTCCTCATCCTAATTCAACAAACTCAGTCATGCAAATCAATCAAATCATAATAAATGAATTCCCACATCTGTTTTAGAAAACCAAGGGCCCATAAAAATTCAGCAATTACAGTGTTTGTCATAAATCAGCAAAACATTGTTTATTTTATGCTAAACCCTTCAAGGCAACAATGGCTTCAGCAAACAGCTTCCACATTGCTTCTTTCAAGAAATATATTATTTTTAAAGACTCATTTTAAAAGTTCCAGGGGTAAGCATGAACATTGCACTTTCATACTAACTACATACAATTGTCTCAACTTCAGTAATAATATAAAAGGGTTTTAAAAAACATCCAATTATAGCTTGTTTTTTCAGGATCTCACAAAGCTTCTACGGCATGAGTATGGATTTCACATAATATTATAGTCTTATTTTTCGTGAGTAAAGCAACTACGCCTTACATGGAATTCTAAAGACAAAACAACAAAACAGTTGGGCAAAAGTCAACAGTTCAAACAGGTATTTTCAAGAAAAAATTCATAACTGTTTATTTATCTTTCTTATTAATATTGAAATTTATTCAATGGATCCCTATATAATTACAGTCTCTGCACACTTGATACAGACTGCAAACAACTATTTGAAAAAAAACCACGACAGTTACAACTATTTAAAAGAATTGATTCAGTATCAAGAAAGCTCCTCGACAGTGCAAATTTGACACAATACAATGCAGCTTCAACAGACACATTGAGTCACACGCTTTACATAAAGCAGGCAGGGAAATTGGTCAAATGCCTCCTCTTTTACTGAAACACATAGCCTGTGCATTTGTCTAAAAACAGAAATAGCCCATGATGAAAATTGTTGGCGTATGATATCTGCAATTCACAGAAAAAAAAGCACTCCCTCAAATCTCGTAAAGTACCGGTAAGCAAAAGCATGACAGAAACATCAATAGCAGGAGTTAAATTTGTCCTTAAACACAATGCAACCACTTTTACACTGCAGGATTTTGTATTTCCTCATCTCTTCCATCCCCCTTTTTGTCCTTAAATAATTAAGTAAGAAGTCACTGAAGTCTTATCAATTGAGCAGATGTGCTGTCCTTATACTACATAATTATTAATATAATAGAACATGTCCTGTAGTGCTAAGCACTCTACTCAGTTGTGAGATTAGAAGCCAGGCTGTAACATGCAGGTCTGGACACTGAGCTCTGTGACAATGCAGTCAGCGAAGAGGAACAGCTGAAGACAAGCGTCTTCACACCTCTAAACATATACCTTAAGCCACTGTGTCATGGATCGCAGACAGAGAAGTTTACCTTTATAATTTTACTTTCAACGATTTACAATTTTCATCCCAAGCAAAAAAGTAAACATGAAAGAGGAAGACTGTTACCTTTTGACAATTTATTTAAAACACACTGGAATATATGATACACTCAGTTATGGAGTCTCTCAAATACATTCAAACCAGCTATCAAAGCATGCATTATATCTACACAGGTTCTGTTTCTAGAACAGTCTAACCAAGAAACTGATCTAATCACTCACGTCATCTCCTTAGCATACAGTAACATTATGTACAATTTCAGAGAATGCAAACCATCATGCAAAGCCCACATAACTCTTTTGTTCTTGCATACTAATAGACAGGCTATCAGCACCAATATTGCATGTAAAGAGGATTTATACTTCAGTGAATATGCCTGTAAGGAGAATTAAATGTTACGTCATATATGGGTAAAACAAACAATTCTCAACAAACTACATAGAAGCAAACTGTTACCAAAAAAATCCATAAGTGACGACAAAATCCATCGTACCATTCTTCAAAACATAATTAATATGTTTAATTTCAAGGTGGTTTGTTATAAATCTGCACGTCATGATATGCAAAAACAGAACTATGAAAGCATATATGGAAACTAAAAGACTAAATTCCTCTGAGGCCAGACACCCAAAGCAAATCTATTAGAACATCTAAAAGGCTTTACTCTGCTGTATGATTACTCCAATCAAAACCTCCCACTTTCAAATAGAGAAATGAGGCCTGTATTACATCTTCTTGAAATAACGACCCCCCAGAAAACACTTTACACCATTCATTAGTTCACTAAAATCCTCATCAAACTGACAGACAGACCTTAAAAACAGTAACACAATGAGTTCATTGAGGCAAAGTGTCTTATAGCTCCCCAGCACTTCTCTTAAAATTCAATTAAAATCAATCTGGACTATAGACACTTCCAGTAAGTTATTTCTATCTGATAACTGATAGAGAAACACTAGGTTGTTACTCAGTAAATAACTTAAATTAGTCTTAAAGCTTTGCTGTTTTGTAAAATATAGGCTATGTACGTACAAAAAGAAACCCAGGTATTATGCACTTTCCTCTCACAGTCTTAAACGTTATTCCAACACTTGGACACGTGTTTAATGCAAGGACAAAAAGGCCAGATTCCACCCCACCCATAGATCAAAGCCTTGTACCTCCACTAGAGAAGTCTTTTTTTCTTGTGGGTGTGTTAAGTAACTAGTCTTGGGTATGTAAAGTCACCAATCTTAAATTGCCCCAAGCCAGGAACAGTTTCAGAGTGTAGCTATGATCATTAAAATAAAAGTACAACAAAAACCTCCATCTCCATTGTGACGAATACAAAGCTCTCAGCTATCAGATCATGTTTTAGATAAATGGCATGGCACTGATAGTTATTGTGAGAAGCATTTTTCAAAAACAGTTCTTAAGCAAGAACCTCCTTTCCATAAACATGATGTGGACACTTTTAATAGTTATTTTCATTAACCTTCATGAATGGTGCAAAATTGAGGGTAAAGAAAAGACACCACTTTCTTTTTCTTAGTGCAGCTCAGATTCAAATTAACTATACATGTACATTGTGACAAAGTTATTATCATTTATAAGATACATGTATATGTTTTATTTGATCATTCACTCAAAACTGCTTTCTCACTCTCTGTGGAAGAACACTTTCTTGTGCCATCTTGAAAAAGGACAGCAAACCCATCTTCTTCTTGTTTTTCCTAAAGTAGTTGCTCACCACATCACTTTCATCTGAAAGCAAAGAAAAAAAAATCAGTTCCTCGAGATTGCCATTATAAAAACAAAGGGGAAATAACCCAAGATATATAACCAATAAGCCAGAGATTCTTAAGACCGGTTTCCCTACTAAACACAACATATTACAAAAAAGACCCCAAAAAATGAAGAACCATAAGGACAAGTGAGAATTTGAAATTGTATAGGTTTAATGCCCCTTGTAAGGTTCTGTAAGAGGCAGAAACTCTGAATTTAACATGTATCTCCGACAAGATCTAACCATACGTGAATATTCATGTAAAATTTCCCATGGACACAAACCAGCCATCACACTATTACGAGTCTGGTGGCCTAATCACTAGACTACCAACGCCACTGTAATGATGGCCACAAAGCACATACCCGAAAACACAAAGTGTTTGCACTATGTATGGTTCCTTTAAACTTAAGAAAAATATTTGAGGACTTCTGCTAAGTATTTGGCTATCGTTGCAGCTAACACATGGCCATGGTCATGCTCGCCCCATCATGTTACAAAGTACCTCAGGTACACTGCAACATACTAACCAAATGCTCGCCCAATGGCCAAGCGTGAAAAAAAAATCTATATAACATTCACATGAATTATGCATAACAAAGTGATTTTCTCTGTGAGAAAACAGAATTAGAATAATTGAAAGTCAGAATTTAAAACTGACACATTTTTTACCAAATAAGAATTTTTACACCCCACCTCCAGAACAAAAATCATATTACCTTAAATAATAGCTGAGGTGGATAAAAAGTTTAATCATCATTGAACTGACTGACGGCATTTTTAAAAATTTACAATTACCAATCAAAATACTGAGATTAAATTAGGCCTGACAGAATCACTTCCCTTCACTCTGGGCAGTTGGTGAAATCAATCAGAGGACATAATCTAAACCCATTATGCCACCAGTCCCGCAATACTGATTTACCATCAACTTCAAGTTCATCCCAAAATTGACAGTGTAACAGGGTTTGACTATACAAGCTTGCACAAAATTCATCTCACCTTGTTCCTGTGGCACTCCTGACGTAGTTGGTAGAATGTTTTCATTTGCTGAGAGTGACACAAAAAATGCAAACGGCACCAACCACAAGCAAAGGGTGAAGTACGCCAAAACCTGAAAGCACAATCATAAAATTAAATAAAAGTCTACTTTAATACAAACTAATGTGCTTTTTGAAGTATAATGATATGCTGAAGTAACGCAGAATGAGACGTATAATATTGGCCAAGGCTTTATTAATATTATCATGAAAATTTAAGCTAGCTAAACACACTAAGCATAAAATCAAACAATCAAAGTCTAATCGCATTTGAGCAAGTATGTCATTTGTAAAATTTCATTGCCAATGATGTTTAACGGTAAAATATCTTTTGGAGAGCAATACTACATCCTTCATGTTTGAACTGATTGGTGTTCTTTCAAAAATTTGGAATGAAATGACTAAGTTTGACAAATGTCATGCAGTAGTCTCCCCTTGGGAAGCCCCCTAAGTGTATGTTTATACGGAGCGTGCGATTACATGAACTTGGACAAGGGAGAAAGGGACGCAACAATCTTATTATCTTATTTTCTCGATGTTTCATTGACCTCCCTTTGGGGGAGGGGGTGGCTTTCCTCGATAATGTAACGAAACGTGACTATCTTATAAAGGATTCCCCTGTCACAGTTATGACTACAAAGGACTTTAATAAGTGGTAGAAGAAAAGCAGAAAGACCAACTAACTGTACTGATGTGCACTTACTAACATGTAGGGAACAGAAAAGAGGAAACTAATTTGGTGATAGCCATAGTCACAGCACTCATGTAAAACCTTATACTATACATACATACATACATACAACCAGGCGGCTTTCCAAGCAACCACTCCTGACAGCCTGCCATCTAATATTGCAGCTCGGTAAATAGATGAATGAAAACGACATTCTGAGACACTTTTTTGCTACTGACTCATTACACACGAGCGTTATAAGTTCTTCGATCACAGCTGATCACTTGACTTATCTTTAATCATATAGTTATACAAGAGGCTTATCTTATCTAGTGTTCTACAGCATTCACGCATTTTGCACACACGCACACCCACACGCGCACACCCACACGCACGCGCGCACGCGCGCACGCGCGCACGCGCACACGCACACACGCACACGCACACGCACACGCACACGCACACACACACACACACACACACACACACACACTATCCCTTGCCCAGTCCTAGACCTATGTGTCTGTGGACAGTTGGGAGTGAAAATGCTCTCCACCACTCTCTTTGTTGAACGTGTGGAGCAGTCATGCCAAATATCCAGATGTCTAGACTTGTCTTCGGCAAGCAGTGGAGATTGTAGCGAAAATTTCACCTTTATCAGCTTTACCTGTCGCTGTCATTCACAGATCGAGAAGCATGCATTTAGCAGAAGTGAACATGTGTTTGTACTCCTAACTCACGAAGTAAAAAACCTGTCATATGACATAAGCGGGTGTTTGAACAGAGCATGCTTTTGTATGGTGTGCATAAAGGTAAAGGTGGAGACTACTGTATTTTAGTCTGCAACCCCCCCACCCCTCCCCTCTCTCTCTCTCTCCCTCTCCCTCTCCCTCTCCCTCTCTCTCTCTCTCTCTCTCTCTCTCTCCATCTCTCTCTCTCCCTCTCCCCCTCTCCCTCAGCTTACCTCTGCGAAAGGATACCACTGTCTTGAAAAGTGTGAGAATGCAATGTAATGGTTGAATACAAGCAAGACTGTGGATGAAAAAATTATGAAAAAATGGTTAAAACAAATGATAATAAGAGGAATCAGAAATTATTCACAAATTATATTTCAACTGCATTAGTAATTCAGATGCTTGGCAATCACTTCAGTAAGGTCATATTCTTCTAATTTTCATCCCTGAAAAATGTAACAAAATGAAAAAATATGATTCCCCTAATGACTGGCAATAGTAGCTATGTAATTAGTATTATAATCTTCCCTCATACAACAAAGTTGAAACAAAACAAACATGACAAACTCTCTCCAATAAACTCATAATAAGCTTCTTTTTTTCACAAAGAAATGTAATTCTTTGCTCATTCCATTTTTGTTGCAATGCCCGTGTTTTGTGATAAAAAAGAAAGAAAGACAGGAAGCTTATTATAAAAATGTGTGAACAAACAGATAATTCACAATCTTTAGTTCACCCATAGATTGTCCTTCCATTCCAAACCTTTTGGGGGGGCTCTCATGACCTAGAGGTTAAGGTTCCCCGGTTCGAATCCGGGAAGCAATCAAAAACATTTTCTTATCTAAAATTGTCTTCTTTCACTTTCTTTCCTACTCTCTAGCAATGTTCTGTCATCTGCTTTTGTCTCCACTTTCTGCCCCCACCCCCTTTGACCCCTCCTCTGGGCTTCTGACTCTTTCTGCAGCCTTCCTACTGCTACTCCTTGGCTCCTTCTTACTGCTGTCTTTCAGCCACACCCCAGATCTTCTGGTAGGAAAGATCTACACCTAGCCTTCTCGGGCGAAAAATCTTGGAGGTCCCGTATGCAAGTTGCACACGTTAAAGATCCCTTGGTGGTCTAAAATCAATAAGAGTAGGCTTCGGCCGCCACCCGTGCAAAATTCAAAATTTCCCACCAACTAAAAATGTTTAATGTGTCCCGTGCACTCATATGAACTCATGCAGTTGCGAGCGCCGTAAAACACTTACGAAAAAAAATAATAATTTTTTAACACTGATCTATGTCTGATTTCACATCACAGACAAAAAGTTGTTTCCATTTCACTTTTGGCTGCGCATCACATTGAAAACATAAGTGTACTATAAAGTAAGAAGAATTAACTATTAAGTTATTAACATGTAAGATTTGAAGCCACTGAACCAATTTGGACTTGGTAAGCTTACAGATTTATCTAATCTATGATTTCCAGCTGGCCCACCATATGAATCTGCTTCAAAACTTAAACAAAATATCTTTATCAACCATTTGAAACAGGCTTATTGATTTATTCTATCATACCCACAACTTGCAAAAGACAAACAAATTTTCTAATCTATATTTAAAGTAAAGGAAAACTCACCGATGGAAACGATGAAAGACGGGGATGATACATAAAAGAAGGGGAAATCATTCAGGACAAGCAAATAAGCCACACAGCTGGCAAGACCACTTCCAATCATTAGGATGGTGAAGTCCTCAAACAAAAGCATCCCAATGTATATCAAAATGGTGGCCTGTAAAGAAAATGAGACCAAATTCTTTTACATGTTTCAGAAGAAGTCCAAACATTATTCAAGAACAAAAAGCATGGTAGAACAAAAAGTGAAAAAATTACAATATGAAAATGCTCTACATACAAGTCAACAGAAATAAAAATGTTATGGCTATATCTCACAAAAATGTGAGAGAGTTCTTTAAAGTGGATTTGGAGATCTTCTTTTCTCAGTCGATCCATAGTGTTATCAACATATATATTTTAAAAATGAATACATTTTAACTCTAAAATATAGCAAAACAACACAACTTTGCAACATTTCATTAAAAAACACTACTTTTCCTCAGAGAAAATCATCAATAAAGAGCAACATCCACTTTTTTCAAAGCACAAAACAGGGTTGAAAGATACACCTTGAAGTGCGGCCAAATTCCCATTTTTGGGGAAATTTCATATTTAGTCTACAATACCCAAAATATCATAAGCTGTGAATGAACACTCTCCAACCCCCTTTCTCCGCATTTTCATCATGTAAAGGATGACTGATAAATCAGAACATGACATACATAACTGAAATGTACTGCTATTACATATCATCAACAACAACAACAACAACAACAACAACAACAACTTGGATCCACAGGGCGTTCAGACAACACAACTAGTTCTGAGTCAAAATATTCAACTTACATGCTCTGACATCAAGCAACATCATTTACTAATAAATGAAAAATAAATCTTTTCTTTTTAACCAAAAAATTTCAAAGACATCATGTCATGGCACGATTCCTTGCTTCAACAAGACACAGGCAGGGTGTTCAAATTTTTAAAACAAAAAATAATCAGTAACTTAGCTCACAAGTAACTGAACATGTACAATGTTAATGTCACCACACTTTCAAACACAACAAAGTTCTCATTGAAACTTACATAAATCAAATATTTGATGATCTTGCCAGTCATAACTGTGTACTCCTCCACTAGCTCTGCCAGGTAGTAAAGCCCGGCAGCTGAAAATGTACAAGTAAAGTCTCCGTTATCACATGAAATATCCTCATTAACTCTCAAACGGCTAAAAATGATTTGACTTGGATGGCTATTTCAGTAGACTGTCCAGTATGAATGTTTCTTCATTTGCACAGATTGACCATCCTGCAGCCCCTTTTCCAAAACCGGTTGAAGAAAGCAAAATTGGAAAAATATTAACCATAGAAGCGCTCAGCGTTTCACCCGAAGTAACCTGCCAAAAAGGCCCCGCCGCCACGGCTGATCGGTTGTAAACCTGGGTTTTTGGTAAGGGGGGGGGGATATATATCAGCTGAGATACCAGAGATGTCGATCTATACCTCTGCTACTGAAAAATGACCATTTACAGCTCAACAGATGAAAAAGCTGGCATATAAAACCATATCTTTTCTTAAAGCTCATAGAATGAGCCATTCAAAAATGATAAGCGATCAAATAAATACTAACAAAGCGCAAAACACGATAAACTCAACAATTAGTACATATTAGCACAGCAGAACAAGTGATAACACAGAACAAGTGATAACACAAAGCGTGTGGTCGCTCAGCTGGACCGCGTCACTTTATCGATCAATATCTTGGCCAAGAGATGCTCTACGAGGTCAAAATAACTTGCAAAGTCATTGGTCACAATTTATAACTTTGACCTGTAATTTACTACGTCATTTTCCATATATATATATAAGGAATATGCTGACATTTTCCATTGAAAAAGGTTAGCGTCTATGCCCTTTATATCTTGCTCGCTTCCTGGTCGAAGTAGGTCAGCCCTATATATACTATATATATATATATACGGCCTGCGCGCTTCCCGGGTAGCCCGGCTCACGTCCTTTGTACAGGGCCTGCACGCTTCCAGGGTTAAGGAAGAGGCTAGCCATATATAACGATGGCTAGACTGACAAACAGCAAAAAATAGGCCTACTGAACTGTAAATCAGTTTTCAGTACCTAAAGTATAAATTGTATTTGAGACGAAACCAAAAGGTGCCTTACTGACAGTACTTGTATTTTAAACCTGAATAGACCTGTGTACTCAACAGCTTTTTAAAGCCTAAAATAAGTACAGCTAGACTGGCAGGTTAGCCGTACTCAAGTATGGCTAGACTGCTTGGCCGTGGGGGTGTGGAAGGATTTTTTTTTTAAGTTTTTGCTTTAGGGGGGATTAAATGCAAAAGGAAGGTATTAGGGGACCGTACAGCGCTACTCACTGGGGGACTGTGCAGTCCCCTAGCGTTGCTTACTCAGGGACTGTGCACTTCCCTAGCGCTGCTTTGTGCACTGGGGGACTGCAAAGAAACACACACACACACCCCAAGCAGTCGACAATGAAACCAACCTCACGTCGCCTAGTGACGTCGGCAAAGCTGGCCCGCCACGATGTGGGACAGAATCCCAAGGAAGGATTGCAATACACCTTAGAAGTAGAGAATCTTTAGTAATACTAGTTAATACTAGGTCTACCACTAGGTCTAGATCTAGGCCTAGATATTATAGACACAGACTGCAAACTTTTAAGTTGAAGAAGAGCGGACCAACCATGTTGTGTAGTCTACAGTCTATGTCATAATTACTAGATTAGATCTAGAATCTAGATCTAGATAGATCAACGAACCTGTCAACATAAATGATAAATTCGCCTTAACCCTATCCGTACTTCCTGGGGTCATTTTGTACCCCCGGGGTTGTACTCTTCACATTTTAGAATACTTCTAGTATGAAGATCTCTTTGAAACTTTCAGTATTTTTCAAAAATCATTTTTGACAGACTGCAAAAGGTATGGATCGGATGAACAAGTACATTTCCTCTTTAAAAGTGGTGGCACAGAGTTCCCCACGTTGTATGGATACAATCTAATAATAGTAAAACAGGACGTACAGGTAGGGTTAAATAAACAGTGTTTGGCTCTAGATTTAGATTCTTCCACCATACTAACTTAAGTGTTTATCTTGGGCAAGCCACTCCCAGAGGCTCGCGGTCGGAACCACTGTACCGATGCCGCTGACAACAGCTCGGGCACATTCCTTTACGACTTCGACATCAAATTACTTTTCAGTAATTGCCGAAAACAGGTCTCTTATATACCAGAAGTTCACTCATTAGATGAAGAACTATCGAAATAGGTTTGCTAGTTTCGATTTAATGACCCATTTAATGACGTTTTTGTAATTGTTAGATTTAGCACCAAAAAAGGGGTGCTTCTTTTTTTCGAAACCCACTAAAACCTACCGAAACTGTCCGAATACAATCTAGAATACAGTAGAGCACACCTACAGGCTTCAACATAAGTTAAGGACGACCTTGACAAACAGCCCTGATTTTTTAAAATCCGAAAAAAAGACAGCAAGAATTGTTTCAAAATTTTTTGGTCTGAAAGTGTTAATGGGTTAACAATGCGTACTGCAAAGCTTCCTAAAGGTGCAAGACCGTCTAATATAACAGATACCAGACTTCAAGTGTGATGTGATCGAGAAGAAGAAGAAGAAGACAATCAAACAGTGAACTGAATTTACGCCAGAGTGCTCATTTTTTCTCTGCAGAACATCCATGTTGTGATTTGTGCAGCCATCACGCAGCAGCAGCCATAGCCATAAAGTAGACAAATCTAGGTCAAAGATTGAAAGCCCATGAAGAGTATGGGGCTTCCAGGATGCACCAGGATCAAAGGGTTACAGTTATATCAAGTTAAGCTCACAATGATAAAGTCATTAAAGTTGGTGAAATATGGCCAATGGCCACCAATATTAATATTCAGTGGTTATTCACGGCACTGTGAACATTGTTTGCAGGCTACATTCACAGCGTTCTGAATCGTCCACCATTGGTACTAGCAATCGCTCAAAGTTCAAAATGAATAAGGAAACAGCACAGGAATACTCATAAAAAATAATGGAGCAGTGGTCCGAATACAAAGGAGTTTACGGAGGGTGAAGCTGGGCACAGCAAAACAGCCTCGGTCGACAAGGTCTCGCTCGCCCAGCAGGCGGAACACGACTTCATCCTCTCTTCCCGTGTGCAGACCCAGCAATGCTCGACAATTTGGAAATAAAAGTCGTTCGAAGAAACAAGGGAGAATGGAAAGCCAGTGCTGGAAGAGAGGTGGGAGAAGGTGAAAAAAAGAACGAAGTGGCAAGCCGTAAGTACGGCTAGACTGCCAGTCTAGCCGTACTTAGATCTAGGTTTGGCCCTATCGACTCAAGCCTGTTAAGTATACAGGTCTCATTAGATATAGATCTAGTAATTATTCAGGTTCAAATACATGCAAGTCAGTAAGGCACCTTTTGGTTTTGTCTGAAATACAAATACTTTAGGCATTGCAAACTAAAAATTTCATTTACAATTCAGCCATCAACATTAAGTACGGCTAGCCTGAGAGTCTAGCCATCCTTAAGTACGGCTAACCTGGCTGTCTAGCCGTACTTACCTTGCCTTTTAGGCCCTATTAACATTAGAAAACAGGAGGTCGTGTAAAATACATGCACTCTCATTTTATTAAGGCACCTGGTTTCGTCTCAAATACACAAATACTTTAGGTACTGCACACTAACAATGTATATTTACAATTCAGTAGGCCTATTTTTTGTAAATGGTCAGTCTAGCCATCATATTAAAAATAAGTGCGGCTAGACTGCGAGTCTAAGCCTCTTCTTCCAAAAAAGAAAAACAAACAAAAGGGAAAAGGGTAGGGGTGAAGTGAGCAAAATCATTCTTAAATTGCAAACTACATTCAGGGCGCCGTGAACGTAGCCACTGCAATATTTTATTAAGTAAGTAAAGTTCGTTGTCGCCAGTCTAGTGAGTACAGTGCGAGAATGCTCCATCACCCGCACCAACGCATGGCATAGGTCTATCGCCACTTTTCGCATTGACCCTCCGGGAACTTGGGTCTGCCCCCAATGTCGAGGTCAGTCGTGCGGGCTGTATGGCTTGGAACTGAGAAAGCCTAGATCTAGATCTATATAAATATTGAGACCAATCATTTCAATCAATGTCAATGACTCTTCTAGTTTTTAATGTTTTAGTGTAGACAAGTCCACCAAGTACAAGTGCCAAGTGCCAACAAGTGACCTTTGACTTGCCCGTAATCTCTTACCAATGGACAGCGTAACAATGCATAGTTGAATCAGAAGGGCCAGCCAACTCAGCATATACAAAAACCACATCTTGGATAGCTTCTCTCTCCAGAACAAGAGTGTTAGTGTGCAGAAACTAGTTTGAACAAAGGAGCCCCCTTCTAACGAAACGAAGTTCTATCCTCCATCATTGTTGCGTCGTCAGCCACATTTCTTGTAGAGTGGTTTCCCCTGATGTCTATAGCTATTTAAACAGTTTGCTGAATTTTAACACCCAGGTGCCCCTAAAGAAACAAAGAGAACTGAGATGGGACTCACAATCTGTCAGTAGAATACTAGCCTATCGATTAACAGATTCTCTTTTTTATATTATAGGCTTATGCAGCAATTCCATAGAAAATTCCACGTACCAGACTAGGCTAACGCAGAGTAACAAAAGCAATAAATAGAAATATACTGCTCACCTATTGTTATGATACGATATCCAAAGTCTTTAGTTTTTAGTTTTAGGAGTTGTTACGGCGTTCACAACTGAATAACGTCATATGAATCCGAAGTCTAATAATTTATGCATTATTATGTTCGTGCTTCTTGAGAATTATTTATATCCATTACAATGTTGTGATAGTACATTGTACATTGTACTCTGTCCTTTCCGAGAATGATTACCTAACTTATCTTTCCCAAATATGCATCAATTCTTTTGCCAGGAACTTGTGTCACTGGTCTAATTTCATTTGATCTTAATTTAACACTGTCCATGGAGTGGTAGGGAAAATTTCAGGAGGAAACAGGTAAATGTCAGACACATCGTCGGTTTTTCCTGTCCACTGCAGATTACCCACACTTTATACACGACAAAGATTGATAGGGATAGCTTGGTATAATTTGTCTTTGGAGCGATGTTTCATCAATGTATTAAATATCTCTCTCTCTCTCTCTCTCTCTCTCTCTCTCTCTCTCTCTCTCTCTCTCTCTCTCTCTCTCTCTCTCTCTTTCCATTTTAGTCTTCTGACGTTTTGCCTTTCATTCTATTTTCAGATCCTTTTTTTCTCTCTCCTCCCCTCCCCTCCCCTCTCTCTTACTCTTTTCGTTCGTTACCCCTCCCCTCCAAATCAGTATACAGTATTCAGTATTGCCCATTCACATTCCTCTTCTCGATATTTCCCAAGCATCCGTAGTCATTTTTATTTTGGGAAAGTTGTGCCATTATCATAGCACTAAGACAGTTGGTGTTGTTCTATTATGATCGAAAATGGCCTTGTCTTGTAATAAACAAGTTAAAAAAGAATCCTGTCTTGGCGTTTGAGATCGAAGGTGGCTCGAGAGGCGGTCCGATATTTGAAAAAGTGTCCACATGTTGGACAAGGGTGAGTGGGACTTAGTCAATGCAAGACGCTGTTCTTTTTTTTCTTTTCTTTTCTTTTTTTTGGGGGGTAAGTGTTTTACGGCGCTCGCAACTGCATATGGTCATATGAGCGTGCAGGGCACACCTAATACTTTTTAGTTGGTAGGAAATTTTGAATTTTACCCGGATGGCGGCCGAAGCCTACTCTTATCGTTTTTAGACCACCAAGGGATCTTTAACGTGCGCAACTTGCACACAGGCCCTCCGAGATTTTTGCGCCCTTGTCCGAGAAGGCTAGGTGTAGATCTTTCCTACCAGAAGACCAGGGGCGTGGCAGAAAGACAGCTGTAAGAGGGAGTCAAGGAGTAGCAGAAAGAGTCAGGAGCCCAGAGGAGGGGGCAAAGGAGGTGAGGGGGTGGGAGTAGAAAGTGGAGACGAAAGCAGACGACAGAATATTGCTAGAAAGCAGGAAAGGAGGTGAAAGGTGACAATTTTAAAGAAGAAAAACCGATTCGAACCCGGGACCTTTGAATGAGAGGCCAACACCTTAACCTCTAGGACACGAGAGCCCCCAGTCGCTGTTCGTGCTGTGATAGCCTCTTCTTTTCAGTTATCCTTTGGGGCCATTGTAGTTGGCTTCAGATGTACCCGTGACTGGCGATACGGCCTCCGACGTGTTGAGAACAACGCTGGTTGTCTAGCTGGTATCTTGACTGTGTGCGTGTCTCTATGCTTTCTGAGTTACTCAGACAGCAAGCCTGGCCCACATGGTAGAATTTTCAGAGGCAATCATGCATAGCTTATACCTAGTCACCGTCCTAGAACTTCTGTGTCAAAAATTTTGTCTAGTCGTTTGATGCGCAAGTCTGATGAGACACTATTGGTTGATGAGTTGTTTTGCATGGCGGATAATTATAAAATGTTACGCTCATAAGATTATTGCCAACGTCATTTTCTGTGAGTTTGGAGTTTGTTTGTTTTTTCTCGAGTGAAGAGCAGAGCCAGCATGGTAATAGATGTATAGTTCACTTGGACAAAAAAAATAATCCCAAAATAACTCAATTGAGTGTAACCAAAATCAAGCGTTTCAGAGTCAGTTGTTTGAAAGAAACCGGGTTTTTTTTTTCTCATTTTCTCAAAATGGCAAAAAATTTAAATACGTACTGCATTTATTTTATGAGCGTGAAGAAATAGGCCTATATAGACAGTCCACCATATCTTACTTGCATAGAGGACACAAGAAGAGTTACCGGTGCTTCGACACTGTCACGCATGTAGACCCGAGTTCAATTGTGGAGTGGAATTTAAAAACAAAAATCTAATATCTTGGTCCTTCTGCTGGTGATATGTTGTATTCCTCTCAACTCACGTTGGATTTGACAGACAGTGTCGAAAGCCTGCCTCCTAAATTATCTTAATTGTGTCTATGAGGGCGTGAAAACACCTATGTAAAAAAAAAAAAGTTGTAAAGGCCAATGATGCGCTGTTTGTCTCCAGTGTTGTACATGTGTTGAGACCGAGGCTTCTGCCTATAGAGGTTGACCCTTTAAAAACCCTGTTGTTGAAAATCAGTGTCTATAGCCTATCAATTTCTGCTTGAGACAGCTATTGTATCCCTAAGTCAGGTGATTTTTTCTCTGCTGCTCGTAGTTTCTGTCCTGTCATTGTGACGTTTGTTTCTCGGCACTGCATAATAATACTTTCCTGAGGGAAATCTGGTTTCAATAGGCCTTCCCGTATAGTGGTATCTACTTACAGCAGCCCAGATAAGTGAATAATCTGTCTAACAGTAACCAAGCTTGTGTAACGGAATTGTTCTTATACATTATACCCCCCCCCCTTCCCAGTGGCGTCGCGTGGGTTTGCAGACAATGTGGTGCATAATTGGAAAGTGAGCAAATGGGCAATAGGCTTAGTAGCTACTAATAAGAATTTGAGCGAAAGCCAATTAGAATCTGCAGGATACCCTGTAATCTGCACCTATCGATATTTACAACTGTTTCTAGATGAAACCGCATAACATCTGCAATAAAGAGAAACAATACTAACAACTCACTATGCTCACAATCTGAGAAGATTTACCAATTTCTAATTACTTCGTACAGCACCAGGACTAATTGCTACACTATAGAGAGAGACAACAGTTTCGATACCCATTCTTCATTGAGTTACCGTAGACTCTTACTAGTGTAGTAAATAAGCTAGTAGTGGAAACTTGGATCAAATTTTTAGCTTACACCAAATTGGTGCTGCGAAAAGCAGTTTCATGCACCTTTCTTCTTGTGCGGGAAGAACGATGCCTAGATTTCTCTGCAGTGACAAAATTACTTTGGTGCAAATATTTTGTTTGCTCCCAGCAGACACTACCGTAAGCGGTGCGACGAGTATAAATCATCCTCGCTGTCTGCCTCTTCACTGGCGCAGCCAGCAGGTGGCGGATCACAAGGATGTAGTAATGTACATCTAAAGTTCTGACTGGTTTAGAACAATTAGAAAAGGGGGGGGGGGGTGAAGGCTAGGGGCACTTGCACCAATTGCACCAATGCGCCCGCTGCCCTTCCCTTTATCAGCAATCTTTTTCTCTAACAGCAAACTATTTAAATTGTCAGATTTTATGTTTGTTGTTGTTGGAAATTTAAAAAAAAGGGAGGCTAAGTACGGCTAGACTGGATGGCTAGCCGTACTTAAGTACGGCTAGACAGCTGGGCTAGCCGTGCTTATTCTTAATATGATGGCTAGACTGACCATATAAAAATAGGCCTACTGAGTTGTAAATATAAATTTTTAGTTTGCAGTACCTAAAGTATTTGTATTTGAGACGACACCAGGTGCCTTAATGACAGTGCATGTACCTCCTGTTTTCTAATGTTAGTAAGGCCTAAGAAAAGTACGTCTAGACTTCTTGGCTAGCCGTACTTAAGTACGGGTAGACAGCCAGACTAGCCGTACTTAATATTGATGGCTGAATTGTAAATGAAATTTTTAGTTTGCAGTGCCTAAAGTATTTGTATTCCAGACAAAACCAAAAAGTGCCTTACTGACTTGCATGTATTTGAACCTGAATAATTACTAGATCTAGATTTAATGAGACCTGTGTACTTAACAGGTTTGGGTCGATAGAACCAAACCTAGATCTAAGTACGGCTAGACACTTCGTAAAAAACAACAACTCTACACACCGACGCTGTCCTATAATTTCTGTGCACGAGTTTTGACTCCCCCCCTCCCCCCGTTGCCAAAAACACGAAATCTCAACGTTTTGATATTGGATGTAAAAGTAAATGAAGCCTGCCTTGCAACAGAGGCGACGACATGCTTCTACGTTTACGTCTCGGTAGCCACCCCATGCGCAGCCACAACACACGCACACGAGTGACGAGACACGAGGACCCGACCCAGACCCAGCTAGACTGAAACTAACTAGGTCATCGGTGTGTTTTGGTAAACAAGATAGGTTGTGAGTGTCACGTGTATTTCTACAAGTCACTTTAGCGACTGGATCATATTTTCACACCATGGGAAAAGTTAAGAAGCAGAAAAAGCATCTGAAGTTCGACTACAACAGGGATCGCAAGAAGAACTGGAAGAAAGCGAAAGGAACGCCGACAATTAAATGGTAGGTTACCTTTGAATGTGTGTAACCTGTTTTCGATAGGTCCACGTGGGGTCACACATGTGAGAAATTACATTCGAACCTGTGTAAGACGGAATCGCAGGGGAGCCAGAAAAATTCCGTCTTAGACAGGGGACTTTAGGGGGAGGTAGAGGTGGGGGGGGGGGGGGGGGGGTTCAAAAGTCCAGGCGGTGGGATCAAGGATCGCTTGTCCGATCGGCAAGCAGCCAGTGGTCAAAACTTCACATGTCATCAGCATCGCTATCACCTGTCTAAATTAGACTCTAATAATAATAATGACATGCCATGCGTCAGTCTTACTTCTAATTACCACAGTACTTGCTTTTCATAGGACCACTATTTGACCTTATTTATTAAAAACAGAAATGTTTGAACATCTCCTTTGCTTCCGCCCATAGCCCCACCCACCAATGCCACCCCTCGCCCTCACTGCCATCATGTCAACGATTCGAGGAACTCTTTTCTTGGCTGGCCGTACAATCAGGGTGGCAGGCATTGGTCAATATAATTTCACACCTCTGGCTTCTGGCTACCCAGGAAAGTTTCGGTAAGATTGTACTTTACCAGACCACCAGTTGGAACTACTTTCGCATGGCGCTATGACGCCCCTGGTGCCTAGTGGTCCGCTATTCTTCCTTTCCGAGCTCCCCCTAGGGTACTTAGTTTTCTACGTCCTCACCCTTCCACTGCCAACAACCGACTGACATCTCTTACCCCGGGTTTTTCAGTCATCACCACCTTGCCCTTTGACCTACGACCCTGACACCTTGAGGCTAAGGCTAATTGGTCAATCTAATCACGTGGTCCACTGCCACTATTATTTGCTCGCGACTCTGCTTGGCTAGGCAGGACTACTCCTGGTCCGGCAAAGTACAATGGAGGGCGAGAGATGCGCATGAGAATTCATTTGCATAATTGCAACCCCCTTGGCCCTGCTCGCGACTTGACGAGTGCTGCGAAGCAAGGCTCGGCCTATTCCAACTCTAATTAGATCTCTACCCCGATTGTCCGCTTAGCTCCATGGTCCGCTCATGTTATGTTTAGGACTAAAAAGAAACGCATATATGTGGAAGACATTGAGACTGTTGTCAATGCAATAGGTACGTGCCTTACAAATAAAAGACATCAAGACATTAAAAGATCAACAAAACAGTTGCAAAGTTATAAAGAAACATTAAGAAATTAGATGTCCACCTACAGAATTTTCATCATAATTTCAAAATTATTTGTACCCCCCCCCCTCCCCTAAAAAAAACAACAACAAAAAGCAAAAAAAACAACGGGGTCTGCAGTGATCATGCAGATCTGGGTCTTGTTACTGGCATTTATCCACTTTTTCGTTTACCTTTTCTTCCCAGTCATGAGCAAAACGTTCATCTCACAGAAGTGTCATATTTGGTTAACCTCCCCACCCTATCTTACACTTTTCTTACAGAAGCCAAAGACACCCTTTCCCCTCTGAGGTGTAAGTTTATATATTGAACGGCCCGTATAGGCCTAGATCTAATACATTGAGGCATGTTGCGTACATGAGAGGCGGAGTAGGGTCGCTTTTCGAGGATCGCCGTAAAAATAGCCTGGGACTCACTGGGAGGCTATCTTTACGGCTCGCCGTAAAAATAGCCACTGCGTTTTAAATTATTGTAGCCAGGGGCCAAGACCCCCCCCCCCGATACTCCCCACTGTTGTTACATTGAATGTAAACACAATTGTGACTTATTGTCCGCTCATGTTTTTGTTTTGGTTGTTTTTTTACTTTATTGTTTGGAAGAGGCTAGCCGTACTTAATGACGGCTAGACTGGCAGTCTAGCCGTACTTATTCTTAATATGATGTCTAGACTGACCATTTACAAAAAATAGGCCTACTGAATTGTAAACATACATTTTTAGTGTGCAGTACCTAAAGTATTTGTATTTGAGACGAAACCAGGTGCCTTAATGACAGTGCATGTATTTTAAACCTCCTGTTTTCTAATGTTAATAGGTTTTGCCTAGCCGTGCCGTAGATAAGTACTGTCAGTCTAGCCGTACTTAAGTACGGCTAGACTTCTTGTCTAGCCGTACTTAAGTACGGGTAGACAGCCAGGCTAGCCGTACTATATTGATGGCTGAATTGTAAATGAAATTTTTAGTTTGCAATGCCTTAAGTATTTGTATTTCAGACAAAACCAAAAGGTGCCTTACTGACTTGCATGTATTTGAACCTGAATAATTACTAGATCTAGATCTAATGAGACCTGTGTACTTAACAGGCTTGAGTCGATAGGACCAAACCTAGATCTAAGTACGGCTAGACTGGCAGTCTAGCCGTACTTAAGTACGGCTAGCCACTTCGTTATTGTTTCCAGGGGAAGCCCTTGACCCCCCCCGCCCCCTCTGTTGATGGTATGATACACGGAGGTCCACCAAAGTTAAATCTCCTACCCTCCCCGCGGGGTAGTGCCACTGACTGTGTGTAGTGTCTTTAGGCCGTTCCCAAAGGGGGGACATTTCTCGTTCAAGCACAGAAGAATTGTAAATGGGCTGATTCATGTTACGTTCATAACTGCCTGATCTACAACAGGGAACTGCTGCTTTTTCTTTCCTAATTTCCTTACTATTGTCATTTTCCTCTATTTGTTTTGTATGTTTGTCACTCTCTTGTGACGTGCTATTTCCGGGGTGCCTTGAGTCGAAGTAGACCTTGTGCTGTTGAAGCTAGAGAGGTGAGCAGAATAAGTCTGATTCCCTGTAAAGACTTCTCTGTTGACACCCACCCCTTGGCGCTCATGACCTTATGCCTTATGCAGTTGCGAGCGCCGTAAAATCCTCTACTATAATGGAAAAAAATGAAATCCCCTACCCACCCTCAACCACCACCTCTCGCTCACCTCGCCTCGTCGCTGGCGAAGTCGTGCACTTAGAGAACTATGAGAGCGTACTTAGGCTAGGCGTGGGTAGTAATCACGGGCCAAGACGGATGGTCCGGTAAAGTACAATCCAGCCAAAGTTTCCGTGGTGGCAGGCTACTAGAGCACTCTCACGGGCAGTCGAGAGATTTCACACCCACAGTTATACTGACCATCTGCATCGCTCGGGGCTCACATGATGGGGTAGGTCTACTTTCAGTTTAGTATGGGGTTTTGTGGGTAGATCTACGAAGTGTCCGAATAGAGAAAAATTATATTCGGACTCTGAATTGAGTCCAGCATGACGTCCGTTCCGACTTCCGACCTTTGTTCCTAAATATTTCCAGCATGTACGAACTTTTTTGGATTATAATCATGATAACAGTCGAGATGTGAGCTTTAATATCCAGTTACTAGATCTAGATCTATCTAAACTGGCCCTCCCTGCATCATTGGTATGAGAACAGAACGACTAAGTTGAGCTGACCTTGCCGGGGGCAACGTTAATTTTTACTTCAGGGGAAACCCCCCCCGATTGGTCTAAACCCTGGAAATGACTGTGCAAGTAGGCTTCGTGATAAAAAACCATTGAATATTTCGAAAACTATTAATTTGCAAAGGAAATAAAGTCTATATTCGTGTTCAATGCATCAACATGTAGTAGAAAATGAACGTCTAGCTAAGTGTGAGACGGGAGGGAACGTAAAAGAATACCCAAATCAGGGTCTTTGAATTCAGCAGAAAACTGTTGAACTTAGAACAGTATACACTGCAGCTTACGCTGTTGCTCGGGCAACAAGGCACTGGATGAGGGTGAGATATAAGTCTAAGTGACTTATTATAGTCACAACTGTTCTACTTCTGACAATATTCAATATATGAAATTTATACACACTGTAAATACAATGTCATGGGAAGATCATGTACCAAAACTGAAAAGTTGATTGTGAACTTTTAGTCTTTAGAAAATTAGAAGTCAGTTAAATGCATCAAACACAGTTTAAATTAGTTGAAATTCAGAACATTTTGTTCACACAATAGTTACACTGATATCATCGCATTCATTGAGATCAGGTTTTCGCAGATTTGAGAGGGAGAATCCTGCTCTTTTCTTTTTGTGTGGCGAAGTTCGTGGTTGGAGTGAGGATGATGCCTATAGTTCGTTAATTAATTTAGTAGTGTCAAAAGTGTCGATTACACCATCACCTGCACGCCTGTAGCTGATACGTGCAGGAGCGGCAATGTGACTCCCACGTAAACCGGCACGGGATGGTTCCACAGACCTGCCACTCATCCCGATTTAATCGGGATATCCCGATTTTTTGCCCCAAATCTCAAGCATCCCGATTTTCCCGATTTCGATCGCCAGTATCCTGATTTTTCGTGGTTGCGTCCGATTCTTAGAAAAAAATATAAAAAGTTCTGCAATCTCTTTTGCTTGGAAACACCGATTGGACTTTTTATCAGCAGGAACTTGGAACGCAATTTTCTAAATCATCTATGCCGAATCTAGGTCTTGTAGAGGGCTAACGTACGTTATTTAAACTAAAATCGACCTAGTTTCAAACGCTCACTCGCATCACATGACATGACCTCGTACGTGTGGTGAGTAGCGCGTGTGTCGGGGACCGTCGGTTGTCGGGGTCAACAAAGTTCATTCACACCGGTCGCGTTGGTCGAGGTGTTTTTCGGGACTTAACCAGTGTGGACGGCCGGGGGGAGGGGGTGGGGGTATTGTTTTGACACTTGGGCTTAAAATGCGTGCCGTGATACAGGTACTAATTAAGGGGAAAGGAATAAGAAAAAAAATGAACAACCTTGGCGCGATCTTTTTTTCGATGTGATGGAAGTCAAACTTTGTTAAAACGCGGGCGTTTTGCGTGGATGATTAGAGTTACGTGTCAGCTATTTTCAAGACTACGAGTGTTTCAGCATCACTGCAACCTTCGCTCCCCCAGTCTATCCAACTTCGACTCGAGTACGTATATGCTGTCAAAGTTTTGCCTTGCATACTTGCCTCTTAAAGGGGACCACGACACCCCCCCCCCCCCCGCCTTCCCCAGTGCCCTTTATGACTGATTTGCCGTTGACCCCGATTTTTTTCACCAGATCCTGATTTTTTAACTCAGAAATCCTGATTTTTAGATTTCATAGAGTGGCAGGTCTGGTTCCATCGGTGATTTTATGATTTACAGGTTGCTGGGCTGAGAAACTAACAGGTATGATTTCGGCCAGTTTTCTGCGCAGTGACACACACTGCACATAAATAATTATTTTCTTATTCTTTTATTCTGTTGGATTCAGTGATGAAATCAAGGCAGCATGGGACGAGACCAAAAGTGTGAAAAGGAATATGAGAGACATGGGCCTGTCAGCTGACCCAAACAAGACACTGAGGTTGCCAAGAGTGAAGGTTGGTTTTTGAGATTTCACGTCATTTGGAATATAATTTAGTCTACAGTATTCCAGCATTTTGAAAGGGGAATTTAACTCACTCACTGCCTTGCCTGAACCCTGTCGGGTGAACCGCGTAGGCTGCTACCTGCCTAACCTGAAACCCGTCGAGTGCGTCTTTATACTATTTTTCAAACATTCCCTGATGTGTTTCGGGCTTGGCAGTCAAAAGAATGCAAGATACGCCAGTTTGGTTTCGATTCCACGTTGTTGCAGTAACTACTTTTGAATATAATGTTACTTAAAAATCTGACCTTTTCGAACCTATCCGAGACAAACTAAAAACTACTCGATCTAATGCTCAGTTACGATGACGATGGCGTCTCAATGAGGTTGGAACATTAAAATTGATGGGCCCATTTGTCAAGGAAGAGTCCGATTTAGATCTTTTTGCAGATGATAGCAATTATGAACTGTCATACAGAGTTGATGAAGAGAATAGGAGAGGTGCGGACGCAAAAAGTGAAGATGAAAGTTGTGATCTAGATCTAAGATCAGGTGTTCCCCATGCTGAGACCAATGGTGGCGATAGTGATCCGACGCTTCCAGGTCCCAGTTCAGGCCCATTATAATGCAAAAATTTCAAAGAACACACAAAGTAGATTTAGATCCCAATGATAGGAATATACTGACATAGACCCTCCTAGGCCTACTCATCAAACTTCAAATGGTGGCATCCCTCACCCCAGTGGCCATGCCCCGTCCTGCATTCACACACCCGGATGTTGATGCTTAGGATGGGTGGGACTGAGGACTTGACTGACTTTCCAGTCATATATGAAATTTGTCAGATCAGATATCTTTTCATAGTGACTCTTCAACATTTTTCAGTTGATACAACATGACTTACATGATCTATTTCTTGCAGAGACAAAGATATAAAGGCATGCATATCGACTGAATGTACCACATCCGTAATTGTTGTGTAAAAGTGTTTTTTTCACAATTTTGCCACATATTCACAAACTCATAAAATTTCACACAGTAAAGGTATCACGAAAATTTTTTTGGATTTGTTGAGTATGTTTCAATATCGTTGTTTGTCGAAAATTTCAATAAAAGCTCTCAGTGAAATTTTGAATATGGTCCCGAAAGCCTGGCTTTCCTCAGTTACCCACCCGAGAAATGCCTGGCAGTGAGTGAGTTAAAAGAATTCAGAGCCTCTAATAGAGCCCTTCCCAACTTTTAAAAAAATCACCCTTTCATTTGAGGGTCTAGAAAGTTCTAGATTTTTATGATTTACTTTATGAAATAAAACAGTTTCAAGGGAGAGCATTTGTACTCATTCTTGGTGATTTCTTTAGAATTAGAGGAGGCACAACTTGCTGCTTCAGGTAGAAAGTATAATATTGGTTAGGGAAAAAATGTTGAAATGGTGTTGATGATCACTTGTTTCTTACCAGCTATAAATTTAGAGTGAGACAGAGAGAGGAGATGTATAATAAAGATTCTTTTACTTAATAGTTTTGACTTTTATGAAACCCAAAGTAAGAGGGTTTCATGTATTTCTATAACTGACAATCTTTATTCATCTGACAAGGAGATTTGACTAGATTTGAATTCTTCAGTTGTTGTAATAAAAGTTTTGCCCTATTTGTATTTCCCAGCCTCTGAAAATGGGTACCCTTGATGTAGAAATGGAAATTGATCTGGAAAAGACTCCAACGAAAACGTTTGTAGTGGATGGTGAGTACTTTCATATTATAATTAAGTTTTACGGGCACCCCAAGCTGCACCAATCAATATAAGTAGCGTCAGAGCTACTTTAACAGCCATCTGTGCAAGACAATCACATGATACATATGACCACTTCCTTAACCCCCCCCCCCTGCTTTTTTAATGTTAAAATAACACTGGACTGTGGAAGATGCTCACCTGTTTAAGATAACAAGTATTGACCTTGTCAATGTGTTTTGGACAATTTCAACGGCACTGTACTGTCGTGTCAACAAAAAAAAGACACTACTCCCCTAGTGAAAGGTTCCTTCTTTATAGATATTTGCGGACCTCTGACGAAGTATCCTAAAGCAAATCTAGTCTTCATACTTTTGGTATCTTTTTCTAGCCAGTTGTTTTTATGCCAGGTCTGTCAATGGAGGGTATGGTGGAGCATAATAAGTCTCCCAACTCCCAACTGATTCGGGTTTTTTTTTGGGGGGGGGGGGGGGTCATAGAAGAAAAAGTCGTTTTTATCAATAAGTGTGACTTTGCTGTCTATTAGTGTGATTTTTACTGAATTTACAATATTTGAAGAAGTTTGTGAACTAATTTAAATGAAACTTTATCTTTTTCAGATTTAGAGGTGAAGTCTAAAATAGCGGGAAAGAAAAAGATGACCATGTCTGATGAGGATGCTGGCTTCTGTGTGTACATGATGGACAAATATGGTGACAATTATGTTGTAAGTTATGAAAGTGTCTTTTCGGTTTTTCCTTTGTGAGGCATTGTGGTGAAATCAGGCGCTCGTCAAAATAATGAAATTGAGGATACATGTTTTTTTTCGACCATTTGACAATTTTTTATCAACTTTTTTCTTTTTTTTCTCCCTTTATCTCCCATTTAAAGACACATTTGTGTGATCATTTTTCTGCAAAACATTGATTAAGGACTTTAAAAAAATGTAAATTTTCAGTTTCCTAGGACCCTTAAGCTTTTGAAGAAACCAGACTTTGACGTCCATTTTCTTGCTAATTTTACTGCTGACACCAGGTGACCCCCACCTCCTTCAATTGCAAATAACTCGACTTTTATTCAAGTTAAATGGGTGTTTTTTTCATCAAAAGATAGACAAATGAACAAGTTTTAAGACAATGCCATTTTCTTCACATTGCGAGCTCAGTGCTTTCTTGTTGTATCTCCTTTTTTTTAAACAGTGAAAACAGTTCATAACAAAGAGTGAGCTTAAGAAGAAGTCACATTTTCAATGTAAAAAAAAAAAAATGGAGGTAAAACAAGAAAGCCCTGAGGTGGCGACATGCTCAAAAAATTACGAGCGCCTGATTCAACCGCGTCATGGCACATTTTGTCTTGCAAGTCTCTTGTCAATAATGTGGGTGTAGTGTAGTCAATAAGGTTCTCAATTACTCAATTTGAATTTATGACTCACATTTCCTCATCTGATCAAGTGCTTGTAATTTTTCCCTGTATCATATGTAATCTTTATGTAAACATTCTTCTCTTTCACTTCTTCAGGCTAGGAAAAGTCTTTTATGTGAAACATGTGAACAAAGAGATTTGAGGATGCTGGGTTTTTTTTTACATATTTAGATTTAGTTCCTTTTTGTGTACAAAGTCCTGTTGATAAAGTAGGAAAAGTAATATGATAGTCTCTTTCAGAAGATTTCCGAACATTAAAAGTTAGTGCAAATCCTTTGTGGTAGTAATACATAGATTATAGCAGTGCTATCCTTTCTAATTCTTAAGCTGGCCTTTTTACATTATTATGGAGCTTTTACTTTGCATGCAAAGTGGGTTGAGGGATATTTACTTAGCTGCTACATCTTACCATATTACTTTGTGCAACCTCTGTGTCTCATGTTGTTTTTCTTCTCTCTTGTTTCTGTTTCTCTGTGTGCCTTTTCATAGAAAAGACATGTTTTGGAATGGGCATTTAACCCTGCAATGGCAAAGAAATGGCACTCTGCTTAAAAAAATAAATAATTGGAGTTCACGCATTTCCTTTGTGGAAGTCTCAGTTTTCCAGTTCTTGAAAAGATTGGTCATATTTAGATCACAGTACCCCCCTTAAGTGTTTTAGGGTCATTCCCAGGGGGGGGGGGGGGGGCATTAACATGTTCTTATGCACAGTAGAATTGAAAATGGGCTGATTCATCATGTCACGCTCATAACTGCCTGAACTGCAACAGCTTTTTCTTTCCTAATTCTTACTATTATCATTTTCCTCTACTTCTTTTGTATGTTTTCCACACTCTTGTGACCTGCTATTTCTGGGGTTGAAGCAGACCTTGTGTTGTTGAAATCTGTTGACACCCACCCCTTGGCGCTCATATGACCTTATGTAGTTGCGAGCGCCGTAAAACCCTCTACTAAAAAAAAAAAAAAAGACTTTGTCCTGTAAAAGCTAGAGAGGTGAGCAGAGTAAGCCTGATTCCCTTTAAAGACTTCTCTGTTGACATCCACCCCTTGGCGCTCATATGACCTTTTATTCAGTTGCGAACACCTTAAAAACTCTACTAAAACTTAAATTTAAAAAAAACTTAGATCACAGATAATGTGTCCTACACAGGTTATTATCAATTATTTTTTAAAGTATAAACAACAAAAGGTGTTAAATTGTAAGATTCACAGTAAGTACATTTTTCTATCAGTGGAAGCTTCATTCTAATTCTGACAGATTGTAATAAACAAGAAAACAAAGCTCATCAGATGTTATGTGAACAATATTCTGTAATTATATATATTTTTTTTGGGTGTCTGTCACTGAAGTCTCCTGTCTAGTCCTGTAAGATTAGACAAGATTTCAACTGAACTCAAAAGTTTTAGTGCGTTAAAGTATAATTATGCATTTTATTCTTGTATTCTCAGGCAATGGCTCGTGATGAACGAAATTATTATCAGGATACACCCAAACAGATTCAGCGGAAAATAAACAGGTTCAAGAGCATTCCCAAAATGTATGATGTGTATGCAGAGTCAAAGAAAGGTGAGCCTAGTACATCCTGAGAGATTGTATTTATGGCTGTCGGGAATGTTTTATAGATAAGGGTGCTTTTCAAACAATATGCTTGTTTGAGTCATGTTGAAAGTTTTTTTTTTTTTTAATTTTTTTTTTTTAGCATAAGACACTCATTATGACAAGCTTACTTTCATGTGCATGCTGCAAGGGTCAAGTGATTGTCTTAAAATAAAAGTGTTGAAAGGGGATGATTGTAAGTCTTAAGAGAGCAGTGATTGTGAGTATGAGTGTGAACCTGTATGGAATGTTGTAATGTTTTTCTTTTAAGTGTTATATCTGCTGGTGTGATACATTTATAACTGTATGTTATATTTGAGGAGTGCATCAGAGTCAGGATCCATGTATTGTACAGTATGTTTGTGTTTGCAAGGGCAATGTTACATGAAGTCACTTCGGCTTATAGTCTAACTAAAACAGCACAAATGCAACATACGTGTGTGTGCCTAAAGAAAGGTACCAAAAGTCGCCACTGACCGTTTTGAGCTGCAGGCTGTTAAAGACAAAAAATCACTTTTTTGACCAAAATGTGTTTCCGTAAAAAAATGATAGTTCCAACATTTTTTAAGACGTGTTGAAGAGTTTTCATTGATTTGACTTCTTCTAAATATTCTATTTTGAATAATTTTGAGACTAGGGTATTTTTTAAAAAAGATAATGAAAACTGCTTTTAGAAGGTGGTCACAGAAGGTGATAAAATCTATTTTTGAAGCATGTTTTTCTTCCCCATTATGTTTTACCTTTGAATCCTAATCATGATATTGATGTCAACTGATGCCAAATTGGAAATACATTTTCTATGATTAAATACATTAGAAACAATTGAATCATCATTTTTTTTCAAGTTTTTAATATGTTTCCTGAATTTAAAAGCTAATTTCCTCAATATTAGATCTTCATACCCTACCTCGCAAAATGTGCAATATCTAAAAAGAAAACTACTTGAGATAACTCAAAAACCGTTGTGTTCAGCATTGAATTTCCTACAAAGGTATAACCCTTAACTCAAAATGGTCAAATTCCGACTTTTATTACCTTTTTTAAGCACACACAGATAGATCTATTGTCACTGTAGCAAGAAAAAATGAACAACTAATTTTCCTTTTGCGACAGTGAACATATATTGTGAGTGTATGTATGCATGTGTGTGCTTGCTATTGGTGTGTACATGTAAATATTCCTATTCATCAGTGTGATAGGATAAAAGTATGTTTGTATAAGAATAGCAGATTAGAGTTTTGCGGTCTAAGGATGTTTTTATAAGTTATGATGATAATTTTTTCAAAGGCAAATCATGAGGTATTGGATTTCATGGATGGCACTGTGGAATATATCCAACCTATATTCTTGGTGGCCTACAAGAAACAGTTTTGATCTTTTTTTTGGGTGGGGGGGGGGGGGGGAGTTGTTTCTTTTATTTTATTGCTCATAGTGAACTCATTTATGATAATAATTCAGAAGTGCAGAATTATTATCTATTGAATTGGAAACTTGAGATGAGGTTTGAGCTCAAACCTTTGAAAATAAAAGTGAGTTGAATAAAAAAAAATTATAAATCTTTTTATATATGGCTTGTTTGTTTTTTCTTCTTTTTCTTTTTAGTGAATGATCTGGAATTAACAAGCTTACCTATTTTTTTTTTCTACGAAAGCAAGTCATCATCCAATAGCTTATTTGAAGTTTCATCTTTGTTCCAGATTAAAAAGATTTGCTTTTGGTGTTTTAAAGTCCAAAATGTTTATTTATTCTCTGGTATAACAGAGTGGTCATGATTTGCTTTTGTAGAAATTATCTCTTGTGTTATGAAATAAAAAAGGAGGAATCCTTTTTGTGTCACTGTCTCTGGGATCATGACAAATTTCAAGTATTACTGTATTACAGTAGGGGGTCTATGAATCAATATATGGATAAAGAGTGATTCTCAAAGTATAGCATGGAGGGCTCTCGTGGTTGAAAGGTTGCGGTGTTGGCTTCTCGTTCAATAAGTCCCGGGTTCGAATCCGAATAGGGACTGAAAATTTTCTTTAAAATTTTCTCTTTTCACCTCCTTTCCTGCTCTCTAACAATGATTTGTTGTCTGCTTTCATCTCCACTTTCTGCCCTCACCCATTCACTTCATTTGCCCCTTCTCTGGTCTCTTGACTCTCTGCAGCCTTTCTACTGCTACTCCTTGACTCTTTGCTGCTGTCTTTCAGCCACACCCCTGATCTTATAGTAGGTAAGATCTTCACCTGGCCTTCTCGGATAAGGGTGAAAAATCTCGGAGGTTTCGTGTGCAAGTTGCATGCGTTAAGGATCCCTTGGTGGTCCAAAATTGATAAGAGTAGGCTTCGTCCGCCACGTGGGCAAAATTAAAATTTTTGTACCAATTGAAAATGTTTATTGTGTCACGTGCGCTCATGCCCTTATGCAGTAGCGAGGGCTATAAAACACTTCCCCCCCCCCCCAAGTATTGCACAGCACCAAGTACACATGCTATTCTGATAAGCCGGAGTCTTTTTTTTTAGCACATTCAAATTAGGTATGTTGTTATAGATCCAGTTGTTGTTATCGATCCAGTCAATTTAGGTATAGACCTTCATTGTTGAGGTCGATAAGGGTGTATGATTAGACTAACAGTTAACTTAAAGCTCTTACCTGTGAGCCTACAGAACAGGTGCACTGCTGTGCACTGGGGAAACTTATTTGGTGTATGGAAGCGAAAGGGTAGCATGCTGAAGTGTGTGCTTGGATCCGTACACTTGTAAAAACACATCTCTGTTAATTTTTGCCCTTCTGTTGAATATGGGATTTAAAATGAAGGCATCTCAATGTCCAAAGATCTTTTTATCACAGTACATTTGAAGCGAAGTACAGTCGAACCTGCCCTGACGACCACCTCTATAAGACGGCCACCTATACAAATGGCCACTTTCCATTTCCCCCCTTGCGTTTTTTCTATATAATTTAACTGTGTAAAACGGGCACCTGTCCAACGCGGCTGGGCCACCATAATTTAACACACAACCCCTAGCATACTAAGCAATAATACCTGCCTTAGTGACTCCCATTACGTTTTGTCATAAATTGTGCATTGGCCCCTGGCGTTGTGGGCGAGCCGTCATAATTCAATCACCTGTTGTTGTTAGGTAGTCCCTCCAACCGATCATGTTGCGTAGGCCCCTCCCACTGTTGACCAATAGCTACCAATTTTCAGCTGCTGGTGGGGTAAGCATGTGATCCCTCATAACCCATAAGCCCCGCCCAGAACCCATACACAAATCGTAAGTGAGATGAGTGGTCACTGTTTACCCAGTCTGTAACAAAGTAACAAAGGACGTCAACATGAACTTGATACAGAAGCGTCGCTTGTTCTCCGAGTGGTGACGACCTATGTGTTTGTTTTAACATGGCACTCGGTCTTCCTTGTCTGATACATTTCGTTTTATTGTCACCCTTGTGCAAATTCAACGAAATAAAAATTACAAACGAAATACAAACCAACAACAACAACACCAACAAAGACAACATAATGGGGCTACTTTCGATTGGGGTCTCAGATGGGAATGGTTTGTTTTCTTTATCTTGATCAGTCCTGCCTAACAGCCACCTGTCTTATACGGCCACTTTTCTCCTTGACAATGGGTGGCCGTCTTATACAGGTTTGACTACTCTGTATACACTTTGCTGTTAGTTTTGATGTTTTGTCACAGAGTTCAGGATATTTCTCATTTCCTTTCTCTCACCATAGATCGCCTTTTCTGGCTTGTGTAAGACTCATTAAGTGCATGCACCATCATGGCAGGACTTGGAACTTTAGACCAATGAGTCACAAATCTGTTGAGATTGATAAAAGCTGCTGACTTCTATGTTGTTAGTGCATGACACACAGGTGTTTTTCTATCATAGCTTGACGTGAGTTGATTCACCGTAATCCCTATGAATCCAAAGAAGTGGTAGCATGCTCAGAGTAGTTTGAGCTTAAACAGGCAGGAGCTGCTGTTTTGTACATCAATTCTACGCCAAGGACTAGTGATAGACTTTAAGTGTTGCAGGGCATACGACTATAAGTTATTTCAGGATTTCATTAGACATCTGAGGTCCCTTTAATACCGCCCAAAAACTGCAAAAGTGTAGTGTTCAGAAAGAAATAGGATCTTGGTGTCACAACATGTAATGATTACAGTAATACACTTGCATTTATTACAGTAAAACATTTCCGAGAAAATCAATGTAATGTAGTATTGATGTTGCACAGGTCAAAGAAAAGTCAATGAGCTGCTTTTAATACTGAATGGTGTCAAACTGTAACACGTACCACAATTTAAACATACCTACATTAATATATAATACATGTATATAGATTTAACAGTTTTTATAGCATGTGCCAAACTAGATGATAAGTCTGCCTTTTTTTTTTCAACACCACAAAAATAAACTGAGGGTGTATTTACTTTAATAGTCAAAGGGAAGACAGGGTCATGGTCATGTCACGTTGCTAAGCCTGTATGGGACTCTTGAGATCCTATGGATGATTCCACTTGACTGAACGTCCTGGAAGCTGGAAGTTTCTTTGACATGGCATTTCACACTTTAATGAGAGTTTGAAACAATCGTTTTAAAAAAAAGTTGTAACTCTAACTGTCGGTACTTATAGTGCACTGCTTTTCTAAATCCTTGTTTCCCTCCTATATATTGATCAGAACAAGTGGTAATTAAGTGTGCAGGTTATGTACAAAACTTTATACATGGTATATATACACACACACAAATAAATAACGGTAGGCGTTAAAGTCACAGCGACTTTCTGCTCCCTCTCTCTCTGGACAGCTGAAGAGACAGGAAGATTTTTTTTTTATATGATGAACCAGAGTCAAGAAAAAAAAAATGAATGAAAGGCAACCTTGGCTTTTGTGCTATTTTGCAGTTCAGCAGGAGATATTATTTTGATAAAGATTAAAATAAAAATTATCTATTAATGGGCTGGGCAAGCTCGTTGACCCTGGAAGATAATCGGCCTTTGAGTGCTGTGGTCTTGACCTGGAAAGCGTCTGGGTTGAACTGCAGGATGTTCATGTTGACGCGTTGAATGGGCTGTGCCAGTTCACTGAGACGGCCAGATGAAGTCGCCCGACGGGCTGCCTTGGTCACGGGCCACTGGATTTCACGGGCATGCTGGAAACCATCGGCCAGGGACTTGGCGCGTGATAGTTCTACGCAACGGGGAGATGCCACAGAGTTCATAGCCGACTCTGAAACCTGGGATGTGGGATTGATTGAGACATGAGACAAGGGAAAAATAGGAAGGAGACAGAAATTGATGGGTTCGTATAGAGTCGGGCACCACGGATATCTCAGACACACTGGGGATTGATGTACAAATGTGTTCGACACATCCGTGATTCAGGTTAACTGACGAAAAATTAAAAAGTTATAAGTATAAGGTGGGGGAAAGCAAGTCTTACGTGAGATCTCGGTGATTTGGAGTTGTACGTGTTCATGTTATCTGTGACTGACTGAACATGTACTATGATGTGCAAAGGCGCAAACCTAAATTTATATGATTCATTTTGTTTAGCTGTAAACGATGCTATCTATGCCTGTTGATGATGAACATTCAATTGGACATGTTTTACTTTCCTATTGACTCAATATTGTGTAGGAGGCAGGCTGCTTTGTCATTGTTCATCAGAGCTCCTGCACTGTGCTGAAGGACGGGAAATAATGGGGGGTTTCCTTTTGGATACCGGTAACTATTTATCGTGACAGGTGGTTGGAGGGTACTACTTGGCAGGTCCGACTGCTTTCTTTGTCTCTGAAGTTACAAGTTTACTCATTTCCTGTCTACATCTACATTTGACCAACCTATCTTTTTCCTTTTCCTAAATTGTTGTTATTGTTAATCCGCTTCTCTTTACCCAAACTAAGTGGGTGGTTGGTGGGTGCTCCAGTTAGGTTTCCTCTTTTTTTTCTTTCAAACATCTATTCTGTCATCCTTGTCTCTTCACCTTTCTTGCGTGCTACTCTTTGGCACTCCTATGACTCCAATCGTGTTGCAAGGGTCACAGAACTCTGACTAAAACTTAACTTAACTAAACCACCCAAACTAACAACTAAACATGATCTTGTTGAAATGGACAGCGAGTGTTTGGAGGGCGCTATTGGTAGTTCCTACTTCTTTTCTCTCCCCCTGTTGCTTATGTTATGTCTATACAAGTATCTGTCCGCTTCTGCACTTATAATACCTATATGACCGATACATATACAGTGTTAACCTACTTCTCTTTACTCAATAAATGTACTGAAAGGGATGTGATGTGATTCTCTTTACTAAGCATTGCACTGATAGGGACATGATTTGCTTCTCTGTACTCAATACTGATAGGGACATGATGTGCTTCTCTCTACTCAATACTGATAGGGACATGATGTGCTTCTCTCTACTCAATACTGATAGGGACATGATGTGCTTCTCTCTACTCAATACTGATAGGGACATGATGTGCTTCTCTCTACTCAATTCTGATAGAGACATGATGTGCTTCTCTTTACTCAATACTGATAGTGATAGGGACATGATGTGCTTCTCTTTACTCAATACTGATAGTGATAGGGACATGATGTGCTTCTCTTTACTCAATACTGATAGTGATAGGGACATGATGTGCTTCTCTTTACTCAGTTCTGATAGGGACATGATGTGCTTCTCTTTACTCAATTCTGATATGGATGTGATGTGTTTCACTCTAATTAAAATTGAAAGGGACGTGATAGAGACATGATGTGCTTCTCTTTACTCAATACTGATTGGGACGTGAAGTGCTCCTCTTCTTTACTCAGTAGGGAGGAGTCTGTGATTACTGGGTGTGGGGGGAGTTTGGCGTGCTGTTTCGAGGAAAGGGGGCTTTGTGGTTATGGCTTCCTACTGATTAGGACATGATGTGCTTCTCTTTACTCAATACTGATAGGGACGTGATGTGCTTCTGTTAACTCAATACTGATAGGGACATGATGTGCTTCTCTCTACTCAATACTGATAGGGACATGATGTGCTTCTCTCTACTCAATACTGATAGGGACATGATGTGCTCTCTACTCAATACTGATAGGGACGTGATGTGCTTCTCTTTACTCAAAAATGAAAGCACTTCTCAGATCTAAGAAGCGTGGGTGGTTTGGCGGTTGCTCTGGTATGGTTTACTTCTTCTTTCCCCTATCAAACATCTATTGTCCTTATCTCCCCTTCTTCTTTTTTTATGTTTTCTACTCTTCTTTTAACCAGTGGCGGTGGGTAGTGAAGGGCTCACGGGCTTGAGCCCCTACCTCCTCCCCACCCTCCACCACCATCATCTCTATCTCAAAGTAAATGAAAGTTTCTCCATAATGAAATAAGCAGTTGAAACCGTTATGACCGCACGCAATGAACACACTTGGCGGCTTGCTCGTTTATCCAATCACTGTTGTCACCGCTTACAACTATTTTTATAGTAACCCAGCTGCCAATCAGCAAAGGATGAGCCCGTTCTCACGGCCCATCGTTAATGAATCTCTTCTTGTAAAAAAAGTAAAAGACTTGAAAAAAGAACACTGTACTGGGGGCTCACGCTCTCCTAGCCCTGACAATAGGGTGAAAGTTTACGACACACTTTCCCCACTGACACAGATACCTATGCGCTCTTTGGTTCTTTGTTGGGTGCGTTCAAGGAGGTGTGTTCAACTCTCTCGACTACACGGCCTTATCCAGCTCATAAAAGTAATGTGTTTGAAGTGCTGTATGTGCATGTATGTGTTTGTGCCGCTGAGATTTAACAGTTATAAATCAGGTCGAACTACTTTTAAAGCAACTTTTTCATCACATGAAAATTAATTAAAGGAAAATTGGAGTTGAATCAGCTTCGTCCCCACCATCAATAAGAATTTAACTAAGAACGAAGAGATCATGGAAAACAAATGTAACTCTTCTCGTTTGAATGGTTCTCAAAATGTCGTGGCTCACTGTGAGTATAGAAAAATCATCACTGTTTAGTTCTTATTGCTTGCTATTTGGTGGTAAAGAACTGGAAGCAGCCTAAGTCCTACCCAAATTTTGGTCCACCCACTGTCACTACTTGAACACCTAATCTTCTGGCGCTCATATGACCTTATGCAGTCGCGAGCGCCGTAAAACCTCTACTGAAACTAAGGTCTAAGAAGCGGAATGTTGAATATTATCCACTCACCGGCCACTCCGGGCCCCTGAACGGTCCGTCGGGCCTGTTCTTGGGCATTGACAGCGAGTCTATTCTCTCGGAGGCTTTGGCGCTGCGGGCGGCCTCTGTGACTGGCCAGGGGATGTCCTTGTGCGGCTGGAAGTCCCGGTGTGGCTGCTTGTGCTGGGCCAGGTCCACCGTGTGCGGCCGGGGTTCGCAGCTCTGGGCGTGATCGGCCACTTGCCACACTGGACTCACGCGGCCGCAGCTGTACAGGAACTCATTTCTGAAAAGAGATTGTCGTTTTTTGTGTTCTTCATACTTTGAGAGATAGACTTCCCTGAAAAGTGAAGGTCGTTTCTTCTAAATGGCCGTTTATGCGTACCAGGAGCTTAATTAATACAGTTAAACCTTGGTATAATGTACATGTAGGCCTACTCCCTTCGGACACTATAGTTTGAACATCTTACTCCTAGCCGAGGTATGTCTTGGTTAAAAAGATTATAAATACTAATGTGACCCGAGACTTCAGAAAATGAGTTTTACACCGCTGATAAGTGCTTAAAAAAAACAAATTGTTTGCTTTATATATGTGCCGAAGATTAACTACATGTACATGTTGTGTGTACATTTAAATCTAAAAGAGAAAAAAAATGACAAGAAAACAATTTACTTTAAAGTACAGTCATGGAAAACTTGCGTAATTCGGGAAAGAAAACGCCGTCCCTTTTTCTTTCAGTTTCAGGTTATTGTTTTCTTTTGTCGCGTAAGTTTGGGGAAGGGGAAGGTTGGTCTCATTCATTTCGTCTTCTCCTACTTTTTATAATCCTTACTTAATAAATGGTGGTGAATTGTGATGCGGGAACGAAATTATGTCAGTCTTCTCTCTGTCTCTCTGTCTCTTTGTCTCTCTCTCTCTCTCTCTCCCTCTCTCTCTCTCTCTCTCTCTCTCTCTCTCTCTCTCTCTCTCTCTCTCTCTTGTCAACAACTGTGGCGTGATGTGTAAAGAGGTTGGTCTGGGCCCTTGAAATTGAATGTTTGAATTTAAGTTGGGCCCTTGAAATTGAATGTTTGAATTCGAGTTGGGTCCGAAATTGAATGTTTGACTTAGTCTGGGGTCCGACATGTTTGACTTGTCTCTCCTTGAATATTTCTTCCCCTGCCATCACTGCGGGACACTGAGTGGAGCTTGAAATGACGTGTATTTTTGTGCACTATGTGGGTGGTTGACGGGTGCTCTGGAGTGGTTTCCTCCTTATTATCAATCAAACATCTATCGTCCTTATGTCTCCTCCTTGTTTTCTTTATAGGCTACATGTATTACTCTCTAGTAAAAGTAAATAGTAACACCTTTTTAAATCGTCGGCACTTGTATGATCTAATTGTGTAGCAAATGCGGTAAAACTCATACTGTGGGTGATTGGCGAGTGCTCTGGTATGGTTTGCTCCTTCTTTCCTATCAAACATCTGTCATCCTGATCTCTCCTCCTTTTTTGTATATTTGTTACTCTCTTGTAACACCTCTAATCTTCGGCACTTATATGACCTTATTGTGTTGCAAGTGCCATGTATAACTCTTACTAAAGCTAAAAAACCCACTCGTACTGAAACTTAAACTAAACAATGTACGTGGGTGGTTGGCGGGTGCTCTGGTGTGGTTTGCTCCTTCTTTCTTATCAAACATCTATCGTCGTTATCTCCCCTTCTTTTTTTATGTTTGTTACTTTCTTGTAACACCTAATCTTCTGGCGCTCGTGATATGACCTTATGCAGTTGCTAGCGCCGTAAAACCTCTACTAAAACAAACACAAAAACAATGTAGTATATATGGACCACAAGTACAACACGCCAGTAGTAAGTCGGCTCACCTGTTGGGCGTGTGTCGTGAGTACGTCTTGTGTTGTGCCAGCTGGGAGACGCGCTCTGAGGCCGAGGCCGACATGGCGGTGGGTTGCACGAAGTCCAGGGCTGACGACCGGCCACAGCTGTACTGCCAGATGGGTCTGGGAACGAGGGTGAGATAGGATAAGATAACACTGTCTTCGTTTGGGAGTAATTCAATTATAATGCATGTTTTCAACACCTTCTACAGTCCTCCTAGGTGCGTTTATCTATAGACATACATAGTGCATAGCTATGTACCGACACAACACAGATGCACGTTTTGCATACTTACGACTCACATAGTGGGTGGTTGGCGGGTCCTCTGGTGTGGTTTGCTTCTTCTTTCCTGTCAAACATATATCGTCCTTATCTCCCCTTCTTCTTTTTTATGTTTGTTACTCTCTTGTAACACCTCTAATCTTCTGGCGCTCATATGACCTTATGCAGTAGCGAGCGCCGTAAAACCTCTACTAAAACTAAAACGACTCACATACTCTTCCATGACATACCCGCACGCACGGACTTGAGGAAGACAAGAAAGAAAGGGCATGGAAGAGGGGTTAAGGATTGTATTGATAATTGCTTGTAGTACACATTTACTTATCTGGTTACCTATTGCGTCTGGAATTGATTCGGGGAAAGAAATTGAAAAAAACCCCAACTTGTTAAGTGATAGTAAACGAAGAGACACGAACATTAATTGAAAAGGGTCGATAGGAAAGAAACGAGACATGTCATTTACTTTTATTATAATTTGTCAGAGAAATAAATGTTAATTACCAGATGCCGGCAGTGTCGTTTAAAAAAACACAAAAAACCTGACATCAGAGAAGTACGAAATGTAGTAGGATTTCATTATTAAAAGTTTATTCCCAAACTTTATTCAGATACGGATTGTGATTGTTGTTTCAGTGATTCAATATACGACTGGATTATCATGTCTCTCATGAAATTAACTGTTCTTACACTGATCCTCTGAAAATGGTTAGTTATGTGCACCGCAGCTTAATTGGCTGCTTTTATGCTTATTTCTGTATCGCTGCACTAATAAATCGCGTGATCTAACGGTGAGATTTTGTGTGAGGTGTCACTAATGATTTCAGAAAGCACAAAGGGACCTCACCACTCAAGATCGGCGCCCTCGTAAATTGCACACCTGTCGCACGTAATCGTACCCATAAATCCTTATTTTGTGGGAAAGAAAGTAATTAAGATTGAAGACCCAAGTTCTCGACACAAAAATCAGGCACACACCGAGTGCATTGGTAGGATCCTGAACTTGTGAAAACAAGTTAGCTATAACCCTACGTAGCCCCCCCACACCCGTTTCCTTTTATTCAAACGAACACAAACAAACACTTCATATATTATGAACATTCGTGCGAGTCAGTGTTCCTCAGCCATTGGAAATTCAAATTGTAATCCTCTCATTAACTTAATAGTTGTGCAATCGAAGTGTGCAGGAGATCTATGTTTTTAGATGCAAACTCCAGTTTTCTTTCCTTTTTTTGTCGGTCGCAGCAAATTTAGTTTTTGTTGTTTGCTTTTGGAGACTCGTTTTTCTCCTTCAGGCAAAGTTTATTTACCCTCATCTTTGATCCAACGGTAGGCGGGATCAAGTATAAAACAAGTTCCTCTTGACAATCACTTGCGTGTCGAAATTTAATTATGACGTCATTTCTTCTTGTAGTCTACTGGTCTACTTATGCACACCAGTTGGGCACTTTAACAACAAACGACCACTCTTCTGGTTCTCGCTCACCCATCTGCAACAACATCAGCAGCAGCTGCAACCAATTCAACAACATCAACAACAACAACGACAACAAACGATCATAAGCTCATACACGTGTCAGCGAGAAAAGCAGCATCAATTTATATAACCACAAACGACTGTTTCTCTTGGACTGCGCACTTTTGTCAGTAACATCAGCAGCAGTAGCAGCAACAACAAACGACCGCATATATATCATAATATATGGCAGTTCCTGCGTCACTCTCACACGCTTCAGCAACAACAAATTACCGTTCCTCACACCCCCGTCAACAACACCAACATACAACCATTCCTCTTACACCCGCCATCATCATAACAACAACAGCAGCAGCAACAACAACAACAACAACAATAGCAACAACAATAAACAAACGACCGTTCCCGTTGCACCCACACACACCTGCCAACATGTACCCCCGTCTGGAAGTTCTTCTTTGGCGTGGACAAGTCCCCTAGCCTGGGCGTGGCTTGCGCTGACCGCGCGGCTTTGCTCAGTGGCCAGATGGTCTCCTGGGTGCCCCAGTTCTGGGTGGGCCTGCAGGAAAGACAAGGAGACTAGCGGTTTTATTTTTTTATTTTCTTTTCTTTTTTTCTTTCTTTTTTCTTCTTTTCTGTCCTTTTTTAAAAATAAAGGCGTGTACTAGTTTTCCTATCGTAACCGGAGAAATTACATTTGTAATTTAATGTACTTCATAATTGTTTTGTTTTTGTAATGATGATTATAATAATAGCAGTGACAACATCAACCACAGCAATAATAATGTAATACCAGCAATTTTAACGGATTTCATTCATGCAGCGTGTACATGTCTCTACTTGGAAGCTCCGTGCGCTGTGCATCGTAACATGCATGTCATTATTGTCATGTATTGTTACCCCAGTAGAACATATGGCATCTCAATTCCACAAGAGTTTTCTTTCAACTTTACATACACGTAAAACAGAATTCTAAGAAATAGGTCACTGCGTGTACAAGTAGATTCGATTTGATTTCCCCATTCATTTAGTAAAATAAAGTCATCTTGTCACATAGGCCTACATACGGTGCACGTTCGCGATGTCTGTTTCCCCTCCCTTTGTTCATATTTGTGGTTATTCATTTAAATTGTGTCCGTGAGGACGTCAAACATTTACATTGAATTTTAAAAAAAGTATGGCCATGGGATACCCCCCCCCCCTAAAAAAAAATAAAAAAAAGGTTAAATTAAAAAGTACCCATATCCAAAAATAGTTTTCCCCCAGTTTTCTCAACAAATGACCGAACATGCTTGTTTCACTTACCCGACGCATGTCCACCATTCCACCTGTGGATCTTTGTGCCTTGCTAGGTATTTGAACCTCTCTCTGAAAAGTATATATTGAGTACCGACACGATATTAAGTTTCATTTACCTTCCAAAGTTATAAACATGCATTTAGTACATGTGTGTGTTTTTCCTGTTAAGGAATCAGTTTGAAGAAAGTATGTCTGATATTTCTGATTGCTTGTGCGAACTATCTGTAGATCTTCAGTCAAGCACACATAGATAGAGTAGACCCGCACATAGCGAAACACGCACATAGCGAACATATTTTCAGGTATCGAATTTTTTATTTTTTAATGTCTGTCTGTCTGTCTGTCTGTCTGTCTGTCTGTCTGTCTGTCTGTCTGTCTGTCTGTCTGTCTGTCTGTCTGTCTGTCTGTCCATAAAGAAGGGATTCACGCGTCCCGCCGATTTGGCTATCTGCGTGCTAGTAGACTGTATAAATTATGTTTGGTGCAGCTGACGTTTATTTATGTGTAGTTTTCTCCTATCCTACGTCTAAACTTATAGGTGGTACTTGTGTGAGTTTTGACTAACCCACTGGTAATTGGTCTGAATGATCTTGCTGTGTTCAGTGTATAGTGATGTGTTTACAACTTACGAAAACACTAAAATATACCAGAAATACCGGTACATTTATTTGTTGCATAAAATGTGTGACAGTTATGACTATACTATATTTATGGAAGACGATGGGTTCCATTGTGGTAGCGGTGGTGGGGATTGTGAATGAACTAGTACTGTTACTGAAGCGTTTATGAAATGTCGACGAACTTCGTGACTTCATTTTGTAAATCAAATACACACGTAGGGTGACCACTTTGCTCTTGTTAGTCTCTGGGTAAATAGCGGGTGTCCGTAAAAAGAAGCCGATGACTTTGTTTGGTTCTTGTGCATATTCGCGCATTACACTGTGTACTTTTCCCCCCTTATCATCACGGTAAGACAATCTCTGAATCGAGGTGTCTGTCTTATACTGTCGGCTTACTTAAGTGCCATTAGTGGTTTCTGCTGTAAGAATTACGGAGTGTTAGCAGATGGTTTTAAAAAAGGGGGAAGGGGGGGGGGTGGCTTACTGGTACACCCCCCCCCAAAAAAAAAAGCCAACACGCAAGAGCCTGGGTACACATCAGCGTCAGTGGGTGTTGTCACTTGGGTGTTACTACGTGTTTCTTTTTTTCCCCCTTTATGATCAATGGCTGAGACAGTGGGCTAGAACAACACAGGGCCCCGGCTGTTTGTCCAAGCTGATTAGACCACTTTATCACGGTCGATCAGTCGGTGGATTAGCAGGCAGAGAGCGGTAATCCCCCAGTGGGATCACTGGCGTGCGCCCAAAGGTATGCCTGCCTGCGGCCACCGTCACGACTTGTCAGGTGGTGTGCTGCCCGGTGTTTTTTTTCTTTCTTTCTTTCTGTCTTTTTCATATTTTCTTTTTATTGGCGAGCTGCGAGTCTCCAGGGCTGGTGCTGGTGCTGGTGTGTTGTGTAGTTAGGCCTAGATTTAGGCTTGCGATAACTGGCACTATGTACACATGCACGCATTAGGCCTCTTGAGGTTACAGGTTACTGCTACGGTGCACAGGGCACTTCTGGACTGGACTCTTCCTTGATTTGTCTTGTGTGGTTGGCGGTAGTTCTGGTTTAGTTTACTCCCTTCCTGTTCCTATCAAACAGCTGTCGTCCTTATCTCCCCCCCCCCCCTTATTTTCTTTGTATGTAACTCACTAGTAACGCCTCTAGTCTCCGGCACTTATATGACCTTTTATGTTGCAAATGTCTTAAAACTCTATAGAACCTAAACCAGATTTGGTAGGTGGTTGGCGGGTGCTCTGGTGTGGTTTGCTTCTTTTTTCCTTTCACACATCTATCGTCCTTATCTCCTATCCTTCTTTTTTGTGTTTTTTACTCTCTTGTAAGAACTCTAATCTTCGACACTAATATGACCTTATTGTGTTGCAAGGGCCGTAAAACACTAAATTACTCAAACTAAAACGAAAGGGGGGGGGGGTTCTAGTTCTAAGGCGGCCACCCGTTGTCGATGAGAAAACGCTACCTTAGAGAATTACACATTTCTATCATTTCTATCTGACATTTTAAACCGTTTTGAATTGCTAAGACCATGGGGTCAGAAACTAAATTATGTTCTACCTTCTCTCTCAAAATCGTAAGATTATTCGGAGTCGTCATCAAGATATTCAAAGAATTACCTTCGAAAAAGCTTGACATGTTGTGAAACTCAAACATTTTTACGTCAAATTTGTCAAAACTGGGTACTGGCCAAGATAAAACTTTGTGATTCTTAAGGTAGCGAAAAGTGATCTTCTTGGATAGACGTCTTACACAGTGTCATCATAATAGAAAAATAGGGCAAGGGTGGGGGTGGGGGGGAATACGAAGTGGCCGTTTGTACAGGTGAATATCTAAAACAGTGACCGTTAGGGCAGGCCTGACTACTTGGTTTGTTTATAGAGTCATTTGGTACCCCAATCTCTTGGCTTCGTATTGGAGGATCTGTCCTTAATTTAATGATTGAGCTGAGAACTAGAACTAGTACCCATGGTGGTGTTGAGATTGTGTGTGTGTTTGTTGGTGGGGGGTTACATCTTTCAAGAAAATTCACCCCCAGATCATACGTCCAGTGCCAGCAGCTATGCGTATATTATTTTCTTGACCAAGTTCCTTTGCTATAGAACATAGTGGTCACAGGGGTAAGAAGAATCTGTGAATCACATTGTCGCAGCCTGTACCAATGTTGATTAAATAAGACTACTTCAGTACTTGGTTAATATCTTCGTGATTTTTTGTGTTTTTTGATCGGACTCTGAGTAGGTGGGGTTTTTGTTTTTTGGGGGGTTGTTTCATGTGTTTGTCAGTGTGTGTTAGCACGAGTGTGTACACACACACGCGCGCGCGCACACACACACAC